GAATTCTCAAGTAAAAATTAAGAATTCTCAACTGAAAATAAGAATTCTTATATTAGAATTAAGACTTCTGAAACTAGAATTAAGAATTATTATATTAGAATTAAGAATTCCCAACTAAGAATAAAGAATTCTCAAATTAGAATTAAGAATTGTAAAACTAGATTTAAGAATTTTCAAATTGGAATTCAGAGTTCTAAAACTAGAATCGAGAATTCTGATAATAGAATTAAGAATTCTCAAAGAGATTCTCTTAAGATTTCATCAAAGCTCAAAGTTCAGAGCATTACCTTTTGTATTGTAGTAAAATGTATTTTTGTTAAATGTTATGCTCCGAAAACAATCACCAAAAGAATATATATGGAACCTCAGATTGTCTGTACTTTTTTAGAATATTGGAAATGTTACTTCTATTTCTTTTTTTCTTTTTATAAAATTCTGAATATATCTAATTGAGACATAAATCTGTCTTTATGAGAATTATATGAAATAAATATTTCTTATGTTTCATATTTGTATCTTACAATTTCATTTCAAATTAGCTCTCTTAGCTCTGAAATAGGCTTTTGAAGTGAACATGTAATCAATCTGTCTATCAAGAAAAAGGAATACAGATGTCTGTATACATGCCTTACATTTGACTAAATGTAATTACAACTATCTGTATCACTTTCCACAATAAGAATGACATAGTTTGTTTACATTTACATACTATTTCAAGTGAGTTTTAATTTAAATCTTATTATTCTCCAACGCAGATGTTATGGATATCACATCATTTATTGATGAAATTTCTAGCCAATACAGCTAATAAATTCCTTTTAGGACTGCGAAAGGAGCTGTGAATGTGAGAAATACTTCGTTGATTTGTTTGTGAAATAAACGAATTATTCTTTTTACTATTATAGTGCTTTAAGGTTCAAAAAATTAAAAAAAAAAGTATTTTTAGGAAAGTGATGTTAAAGATAAGAATTAAGTTATGAAAAGGAAAGTAAAATTAAGTTTCATTAATAGGATAGTAAAAGTTTCCTAAACATGACAGTAAAAGTTTCATAAACATGATAGTAAGTTTCATAAACATGATAGTAAAAGTTTCATAAACATGATAGTAAAAGTTTCATAAACATGATAGTAAGTTTCATAAACATGATAGTAAAAGTTTCATAAACATGATAGTAAAAGTTTCATAAACATGATAGTAAAAGTTTCATAAACATGATAGTAAGTTTCATAAAAGTGATGTTTAAGATGTGAATTAAGTTATGAAAAGGAAAGTAACATTAAGTTTCATTAATATGATAGTAAAAGTTTCCTAAACATGATAGTAAAAGTTTCATAAACATGATAGTAAAAGTTTCATAAACATGATAGTAAAAGTTTCATAAACATGATAGTAAAAGTTTCATAAACATGATAGTAAGTTTCATAGGAAAGTGATGTTAAAGATGAGAATTAAGTTATGAAAAGGATAGTAAAATTAAGTTTCATTAATAGGATAGTAAAAGTTTCATAAAAATGATAGTAAAAATTTCATAAACATAATGGTAAAGTTTCCTAAACATGATAGTAAAAGTTTCATAAACATGATAGTAAAAGTTTCATAAACATGATAGTAAAAGTTTCATAAACATGGTAGTAAAAGTTTCATAAACATGGTAGTAAAATTTTCAGAAACATGATAGTAAAAGTTTCATAATCATGATAGTAAAAGTTTCATAAACATAATGGTAAAGTTTCCTAAACATGATAGTAAAAGTTTCATAGACATGATAGTAAAAGTTTCATAAACATGATAGTAAAAGTTTCATAAACATGGTAGTAAAATTTTCAGAAACATGATATTAAAAGTTTCATAATCATGATAGTAAAAGTTTCATAAACATAATAATAAAAGTTTCATAGACATGATAGTAAAAGTTTCATAAACATGATAGTATAGTTTCATGAACTTGAACAAAGTACATAGTATTCATATTAATTTTCATGAACATGATAGTAAAATTAAGTTTATTTAACATAATAGTGATCTTAATATCTAGAACATGATAGTGAATTGATCGTCAATTGGTCAACCGGTGATATATTGAGTATTAGATTTATTACATTTTAACTTACTAACAAAATCTGAACGTAAGCACATTGTCTGAAAACTGTTTTAATTTCCTGAAAATATTCGAAAATTCTGAGTTATGTATGTCTGCCATTTTGTACAGAAGATTTCCCAGATGAATTTTTTTCTCCAAATTTAATATTCAATATTTTGAGAAAGGAAGTCAAAACATGATTTAGCTAGAAGGTCACTTGTTGTAATCTTGGTGAACTTTTCAAGCTATCAGTAACTCTGTACCAATTTGCCTTGAAAAACATATGGTAGTGTCATAAAGTCAGCCCAAATTATAAGATGAAATTAAATATCAGTCATCATTTTTTCAGTACACATTTTAAAATTTAAATCTGATAACTACCTAACATTTCTAAGTTTGTTAAATTGTGAAATCAAAATCGAATGTAAACTCCATATGATTTAAAATGAATAAAAATGAAAAACTTTTCAGAAATTAAAAAATAAAACAATTATTAGCCATTTGTTAATTTTGGTAATAAGAACAGTTGGTAAAAAATCTAAAATCCTTACACAGTGATTTCAAGTTTTTGTTTGTTAAGGATTTGTGTGAAGTTTGTTTTAGTTATTATAAATACTGCCATTATAAGTTGCAATGTTATCAACTTAATCTCATTTTTGAATTTTTAAGTCTCAAAATATATTCAATAATTCATAAACTGCCATTTAAATGTTGGAATATAGTTATATTACAATTAAATATATTTAAATATAGCCTTATATCTCAAGAAAAATTGTCGCTGAATCGCCCAATTTGATCTTTATAATAAACACTTCAACATTATATTAAGTTTTTAAATTAAAATACCAAACCACAAGGGGCCTATTTTTTTTTTTAAAATTAGATGAATTCTAATAATCTTATTGGTTGTTTTCGAATTAATTTGACCAATGAGATGGCTTTATTGATTAAAATAGGTCAAGGTTGAGATTAAGATAGAATTTGCCACTTTTTACTGCCTTATAGATTAATATTTTCCACGGTCTTCGTATATAACCACAAAAAAATAGTTATGTTATTCTACAATTTATTATGTCATATTTTTGTTTGAATCAGTATTTTTGTGTATCATTGTAAATTTTGAAAGGAAATAATAGATAATCTTATTAAATCTCTGCTGTCTGGTGTCCAAATTTTTGTTAATCTTTTAATCCATTAAGATTAATCTTACAGAGATTTTGGATGAGCCTGAATCAACTTTGTGTATTTTGTTATAATATTGTTCAGGTTTTTGATTCTTAAATAAAAAGCACTATATTGATAATATTTGGTTTTCATTCAGTTGTCCATATCACTATCACTATCAGAAGGAGCAATCATCTCTCCCTTTGTCAAGCTATTACGAACTGCATCTAATACCTTGACTTCATTGGTCTCTTTTCTTGTATCGCGGAATGCAGCGATTTGATTGGATTGTATGTTAGAGAACACAGTCAATCAGAGCCATTGACATAAAAACATGATGGCTTATGGTCCACAGTCTTTCCGTGGAGGAATCAGATAGGCTGTATTCACTAGCATACAATTCAATCAAACCTCCTTGATAAAAGATAAGACTGTAATGAAGACAAAGGACTGAATGTTAGACATGTCCTTGTGTATTGGGCCCAATTCTGACCCAGGTAATTAATAAAGAGTTTATTATTATCATTAAGGTACCGGTACTAGGCTCGGTTCCTAGTAGCTTGACTTGGTGAAAGCCAGGATCAAATTTAATACAGTTGAAATAATGAGACCAGCAACTTGCAGCTGGGATCAATTGGATTGTTGAAGGGAGGACCCGGTCCAATTTATGCTAGAAAGTAGAACATGAACAACTGCTACTTTTTAGTCTCGTGGACACAGATCATCTATGTTTTGAGATTGATCAGATTCTGCCAAATGCCAGCTGCTAGAAGTTGTTTAAAATCTGTTGCTGTCAGATTCAGATTTCACCGGTGTCAGGACCAGAACCATCAGGACCAAAACAATCCTTAGTATCGTGAACTGACTCTCTTTATGAATTCCATCGTAAATTCATGAAAATGTGATAAAAGGCAGAATAGAAAAAGATTCAAGTGATTGATCGTTCAAAGTCGGTCTTCAACGGTTTTGGTAGAGCTCGCAATGACATCTGTTAACATTTGACTATTTAATTGGCACGCGCACATGCTCGTGAAAGAGGTAGTAAGTAATTGAAAATAAGATAAATCAATGTAATTGTGGTATATAATTTACTATATAAAGATAAGATAATCATAATGGGAACAAGACCTACCATAGTTCACCTTGTCAGTGGACTATTGCCTTGTTAATCTTAACCTTTGCCAGTCCATTTTCTCTCAAAGGAACTGCATATCCCGTCGCAATTCCAGCGCTACATATAAGAGAAAATTAAATGCTGACCTACCAAAGTCCAAATCAATTTCTCCGATAGCTTTGTTCGCAGTATCATCAGGTAAGTAGGCCTACATCAGGTAAGTAGGCCTACGCCCTTTGTGATACTGCTGTCACATAGCACTTGTGGCTATGGGAGACGTTTGAAGATGGAGCCTTAATTTATAAACCCTTATAAACCCAGTAGGCCTACGTACAGTGACAGAATTAAAAACAAGTTGTGGGACTAAACCTACACTTAACATCCAGTGACGTATTTAGGAAACGGGTGAGGGGGTCGAGCAGGGCCACACAATTTTAAAAACTCTATGAGCTGGTAAAGCGGAAAATGTTTATTGTATTATACATGTATACATAAACGACAGTATCCCTTTAATGGTTTTCCTAGGCAGAGTCGCAAAACGTTTTCGTTTGTATGGTGTAAGGGAAATAACTCTATTTATTTTTAGTGGTTGTTACAAACTAAGAGCAGATAACTCTCAATGACTAATTGAAGAAAGGTTAAAAATGGCGGGTACTTGTTTGTAAAGTAAAACAAAGCCAGAAAAATCATCATGGAATCATCCCTCTCTAAACAATCCATGGATGGTTTGGTATGTGATGCTTATGTTCATGCTCATGTAGAAATATCAAGTATGGTTCGAATTCGGATCATTCTAGGCTTAATCAGGATCGCCCATTTTTGTGGCATGTCTTGCTTAACTCTTGCGTAGGCAACCGTGTAAATTGTTTATTTACTATAACTAGATCTATCCGCCCATCGTGCCTATGGCCCAAGAATTGCCTTAAACAAGTTCTCCTCTCTCCTCTCTCTGTTTCTACTAGCTCAAGTAGGCCTAGCCTAGGCAAAATCATTTTTGTAAGAGTGTCTGTTCCAAGTTAGATAACCCAAAGGAATATAACAGCTATTGCTAAAGAAACTTATTTAGATCTAGATATTTAGATATGAAATTTTTGGGATCTTTTGAATTGTAGATTGGTATGATTAGAGATGTTGAAAGAAATTATAAAAATTTGAACACAGAATGGTTAGATCTAAAGAGAACCACAGAAAATGACATTGATTTGAAGGTGTGTTTATTGTTAAATTGTTTATTCTCTCTAATCATGTAGAGTCTTCTTTTATTGAACAAAATCGATCAAAATTTACCTAAACTGATCTTTGTGGTTTTTTTTAATTGAATTTTGCTCGTTTGAAAATTGCTTACTAAAATTAAAATTTCTAAATTTTAAATCCAAAGGCAATCAAAGACCATCTTTTTTAAATTTTAACCGACCAAATGCAATCGTTGTTGTTTCCTACTTGACGAGACTGTCAATTTCTTAAATGTTCCTTGATTTAAGCGACAGATGTGTAATTTTAATATGTGTACGCCTACTGATTTATTTCTCCTTTTCGAATCTAAGATATGAATATTCCAGTTTATCTAAAAATATATCTTTTTTCTAGATTTCAGGCCTTTGCCGAGATGGAAAATTTAAAGATTATGTATTAGTTCATAAAGACGACTTGTCTCAATTAGCTACAGAAATAACACAACTTAGACAAACTCTACCAAAAGTAATAGATAAAAAATATATTTCATCGTTTGGTAAATTAGAGGCTTTAGAACAGGGTAATTATCTTTTGATATTTCATGATAGTGGTCTATTTCTTATAAACTGAAGGCACTGTCCAAGGATCCAGGTGTAGGCTATATTTCGTCGTTGGTAATTTTGTTATTTCATGATTGTGGTCTGAATAATGAAAAAAGTTGTCTCCCCTACTACTCAAGTTAGGTACTGCTAGTACGTTGCAAACATGTATTGTGTTTCAATGAAGGCCTTGTTAATGGAAGGAATTAACTTTCTAGATTACGTAACGTAAGATAATGCCTCAGAATTAAAGACCTAACAGCTTTACATAGAGACTTTTGATAACGAGATTTATTTGTTGTCTGAAATCTTCAATGACAGTAGGAGTTGCGTCCCATATTCCATTATTTCTGTCAGTTTTTGACTGAAAAATAACATGGTCTGCTGATAAATATACCTGATTGAACTTGTAGTCAAAGGCGTTAATGATTGAATATTCATATTTCAAGACCTTAATTAATAAATTCCAGAACTAGAAAGTTTAAAGAAAAGCAAGGAATTGTTAGAAAAAGAAAGTTATCTTTGGAAGACAAGATGTGAAACAGCAATAACAGAATCCCAAATAGAAAAACAAGTAAGATAATATTTCCAAGAGTGTAGGATAGATTCTCAACCGACAGATGCTCAACGGACAGATGCTCACTGGACAATAGCTCTCAAAAGAAATGAGAAAAATTATCTCTTGAGGTTAATGATTCCCTGTTAAAAGAAGCATTAAACATTGGTGACCAATTGTCGGTGAGCATCTATCTCAACTGTCCAGTGAGAAACTATCCGTACCCCTATGTAAAATAACTTGGGGATGATGAGAGGGGGGTCCAAAGCTGGGCCAACCTTAGTCTGAATTATTATTCAAAGAAATATGAAATAAAAGACAAAATTCATTCATAAGTGGGTTTACAAGATAGGAGTCAACAATTTTCTTTACATGTTTTCAGGAAACATTACAACTACGATGTGACTTACAGGATCTGAGTCAACAATTGAGTCAACAATCAGATTATTGTTCAAGTCTGGGTGCAGCTTGCTGTACTTTATTATGGAGAGTTTCTAGAAAAGAAGAGGGAATTGAAGCCATACTTACTGGGGTAAGCAATACAATGAAAGACAAACTACAGGTGCAACTTGCAACTTTAGAGGGCTGCGATCATTCTTGTTTCCTTGTTTTCAAACATCATTTCAAACATTAATTTTGATTCAATCAGTAATGAAGAATGACGATATTAAATTTGTTTGGGCCCCTAAAATTTAAAATATCAGGCACTACTTCTATAGTTATTTTGCCTATCCCTAATTATAGATTTGTTAGAAACAACAAGAACAAAAAGAATCAATTTGAAGTTTTACGCGACCTTTCATCCAATCTTCAAAGCAAATCTCCAGATTTTTTTTCATGGCCTGTACACATGAATGGGTGCAAGGTTGAAGACTGCTACCTGGTCGGCTCTAGAAAGCACTGACTGTTGTATCACAATATCTAACTGTTTACCGAGCATATGACAATCCACTGGTCTAATCCACTACCAGACTTGTTGGTTGTAACATTACTTACAATGATGTACTATTTAAATAGCTCTGTACAGAATTTAAAACTGACATCCTCGTCTCCTACAATAAAACAGTACTGTACACAACTTTGAGACATGAACAGTTGTCACTTCCATACCATTCTATTTATATTTTATTAATGTTTTCATAAATGATTTTGCTCTAATAATCGTATTTCAGAAATTGATTTTTTCTGGAAAAAGTATATCTAAATAATCTTAAATGATAAATATACATGACATATTAATGACAATTTTTATGAAATTAATTATTCGATTGATAGATGATTTTTTGATGTTTTGAATTTTTTTCCATATTACAGACTAAAGTAGATGAGTTTTTTTCGATTGTGACTAGTACCCTAGATGGTTATTTGGCAGCTTATAAAGATGATTGGCCGTCTGAACCATCTGATGAAACTAATTTTATACTAGCTTTATGTGGTACTATTACTAGTAAGTTCCTCCTTCATATACTATACGTTAACTATGGAAGAATCACGAGCTACATAATGATTGGCAAATAAAGCCAATCAACAATCTTGGTTACATTATTTACATATGCAGGGGCATATCTAGATACCTGAGGGGTGTGTCTCCCCAAGGTGGGAAGGGCTAAAATCCCTTTGAAGCCAACGGAAATCAGAATCAGATGGCTTGAAATGAATTTTGAGCATCAAGAGGACTAAATTTTCACTTCAAAAATAACCTTTCACATGTATGAGAGGGGTGGTGGCCCAATGGCCTACCCCCGACATACGTCACTGTACTTATATGGTTTAATAATATTTGTCTCTGAAATTATTTTTCTTTTAAATTTTAGATATTGCTGCCTCAGCCTATGGTAGAAATTTTATAATTACTAATCTAAATGGTCGCCAATTAATAGATACATTTTCAATGTTTATAGCAGAAGCCCCAGTCAAAAAAAGCTCTGTTTTGAAAAAGTAAGTTTCTGTTCATATGCTCTATAAATTTGACCATTAAATGCCGTTGAATATATATATATATATTACAGCAGATGACTGTATAATTCCAAATAAGTATTCAGTTTGATATTAATGTGTTTATATAATATTTCAGTTTGATATTAATGTGTTTTTATAATATTTCAGTTTGATATTAATGTGTTTATATAATATTTCAGTTTGATATTAATGTGTTTATATAATATTTCAGTGTGATACTAGTGTGTTTACATAATATTTCAGTTTGATATTAATGTGTTTATATAATATTTCAGTTTGATATTAATGTGTTTATATAATATTTCAGTTTGATATTAATGTGTTTATATAATATTTCAGTTTGATATTAATGTGTTTTTATAATATTTCAGTTTGATATTAATGTGTTTATATAATATTTCAGTTTGATATTAATGTGTTTTTATAATATTTCAGTGTAATATTAATGTGTTTTTATAATATTTCAGTTTGATATTAATGTGTTTATATAATATTTCAGTGTAATATTAATGTGTTTTTATAATATTTCAGTGTGATATTAATCTGTTTATATTAAATATTTCAGTTTGATATTAATGTGTTTATATAATATTAGTATTAATCAGAAAGGATTAAAATATTTAACATCTAAACCAGATATTATGTCCTTGTTAACATGGCATCTACAAGGTAAGACTCGTCTTTTTAAAAAAAAAATAATGCTCTTGGTCCTAATGGGATTGTAAAGAAGTTTTCTAAAATTGTTATGTGTATCAGGGATTCTGATAAATTTGCTCCATTCCAATTTTCAATTAGATGTCTGAGACTCCTGTAATAACACTAAAACTTGGTGTTTGATGACGTCACAAATTGCAAAGGGCCTTATGTGATAAAACTTATTTGGCAATTTGCACTTAGCTTTAGTGGAATTTCCCAGGGTTTATAGAAGAATTATATGAAGTCTGAAATTTGTATTTATTTATCAGAGGAAAGTGATGATGAAAATAGATTAAATACATTAAGAATTATACAGTCATTGATATCAGATGATAATAATATCAATATCATACATCAACTTCAAGAACTGGTGAGATTAAAATTCTTCCTCAATTAAAAAAGAATTTTTTAACCTATTGATTAGCTGAAAACAAAAAAATCATTCATAATCATGTCCAGCAGGCAGTTGGTTAGAGCATAGGATTGGTGTCATTTGCTTGGTTATGTTGGACAAATGGTAGTCGTTGGTCAACCCAGCTGTAAATGGATACTGATAGCTCATGGGTATGATGAATGCCAAGAGGTTTGGCCAAAGACCAGCTGGCAGAAAGTATCCTTAGAAAATAAAGTTTTTTCTTTACCTAAAGTTAGGTTCACAATTAAGGATCCTTTCTACCATGTGGTCCTTTTCCTTGATCTTTCCCAGATAATCCTTACACATTAAGATGACTTATTCAAGGTTACAAGACTTGCACACACCAATCAAGATTAGAACCCACAACTACGGTTTGTTTGATTATGTCATGTAATGGATCAAAGCTGTAATAGACTATAATAAAGAACCTCACAAAATCTTTTCTGTTTTTATTTCAGTTGCCTACGTCTTATTTACATCAACTAGCTTCAGATAGAGATAAAAATATCCAAGATATTGCTTTAGAAATTATTATGGATCTTAGAAATACTGCCAATGAGTCATGAATTTCAGTTTGTCATGTATGTATGTGTTCATTTAATATCTTTAATAAAAGAAAATGTTCTCATATTTTCTGAGTTACTGAACATGAGCAATTCGTGCAGGACAGCAGAGCCAATTTTTCTTCTATTTTTCGATTTTCAACATTTTAGGGACTCAACATGCATAATATGTAGCTCACATGGTTATTTCGTCCGACATGGACAACTGACTGTTTTTAGGTCAGTCTGTCTAACGTTCACTGCACCAGCAAAATCGAAAAGCAATTTAAAGGATTTAAGGGGACTGTCTATGCAGAATTGAAACTTGATACTTCATTAAGCTCAATCAGCTGGTAAGGCAAATATTAAGTCAACGGAATCCCTTTAATTATCCAGAATTTGTCACAGAAATTGCATAAGCTGGAATTAATCATAAAGTTGAGCTGAAAATGTTTGATGTGACCTTAATACAGACAGTTTTATAAGCTTAGAATATATATGCTTTGATTTGAAAAGCTGATAAATCATAAAAGCTCATAGCTATTTTGGGTCATTAATCTTTTAACAAATAGTTTGGACAAGGAAACATTATGTGACAAGAAGAAAATTTGACCTGTTGACAGAGTTATTTATAAAATCCTGGTCTGAACTGGCTTTAACTATTATTATACCGGTGACATATGTAATATATTATTACAGGATGTACTAAATAGTATACTAGTACATTTAAGGGGTTATTTCTTGTAAGAAATAATAACTCCGCTATATTTTAGGGTCTTGCTACTATTACCATAGCAGGTAAGAGTGGTTGTAACAACAACATATAATTGAAATTACGAAAGCACAGGCTAAGGTATTGCAGGGTTTTAACATGTTTTTTTTTAAGCCTTTGAATGAGTATCGAGGAATTTAAAGGGATTGTTTAGAGATTTTTCTAAGGGACACTGAAACATCAATTTGCACCATTCCAATTTTCAATCAGACGTCTGTGGTTCCTGCAATTCAACTCAAACTAAGTGTTAGATGACGTCACTAGACATGTGATTTTAGTGGAATTGCAGGAACCTCTTTTACAATTCCTTTAATAGCTTGCTTCAATTTGTACCATCCTGCATAATTATATATTTCCAGTAATTCCAGAATTTTTTTTACCACTTTGAAATGTTCATCAACAATGATAAAATTTTGTAATAACGCCATCTTGACAAGGTCAAGTTCTTGTGGAATAACAAGAAGTAACAATATAGGCCAGAATATCAGAATTGTACAAAATAATAACTAAAAAAGTCCTGGATACACATTTGAGTAAATTATGTTTTACTAAAAAAACAGGCAAAATTATATTTCATCTAACTTAGAATTTCATTTTGACAATTTATTGATGAAGCAATCCCTTTAAGAGGTAAAACTGTTGACATGTGAATAACATGTTTATTTACACTTTTTCTAGACATCTAATCCTTAAATATACAAGAGAACATGTCAAGCTGTTTAGTAAGACAACTAAATGTCAATAGACTCCATTTTTTAAAGGTAAAATAGAAACCATGACGTCATCCTTTTTTCAGCTAAAAACTGATTAAAGGGACAGATTCACCATTCGTTTGACCAATCGTACCTTAGTCTTGGATATCCAATCCTTCAAAACTTTCAAATTTGTGTGTCCAGAATTATCCATGTTCAAAAGACGACTCGTCTTTTTTTGAGACTCTGCCATATATAGAGATTTGTCTTTTCTTGAGACTCTGCCATATATAGAAATTTGTCTTTTCTTGAGACTCTGCCATATATAGAGATTTGTCTTTTCTTGAGACTCTGCCATATATAGAGATTTGTCTTTTCTTGAGACCATATAGAAAAGACATACAGTATATAGAAATAGAAAGTAGTATTCCTAGTTCAATAAAAGAGGAAATATAATGAAATAATATCACACAAAGTTTAACAGTGTCAATAATAATTTTATTTGAGCAGCTAAAGCTTAGATATTATTTGCTTTAAGGCAAATTCACTTGGACAGAATCTAACTTGAGTATCTATTATATAATATAATGATACTAAAAATGAACAAATTGACCAACTTATACATAGGTTTTAAATGAATACTCTTGTTTGTCAGACATCTTCACAATGTCAAGTTATTAAAATCTTTGTCTCATACCTTGACCGCAAAGACCATGTTTCATGTATTATGAATTGCAAATGTAGCCAATCAGAGCCCGTGCAGGTTTTGTGTTGAGGCCTCGGATTAGCTTTATTCCTTGCCTACAATCCAATCAAATCACTGCATTTCTAACTCCTGTGACACAGTATAAGTGGCTATTTGCATCAAGGTATAAGACAATGTTCGTAATAGCTTAACATTGTGAAGACAGAAGACAGCTACGATTTATGTTTCAACAAATTAGATTCACTGACAGAAAATCATTATATAACACAGTCTCTTATTGGTCAAATGTTTAAAGTGAATGATAAGGTACTACCATCAGAGACACAAATTACTGAAATTCAAGGGTCAGACATTGCTAACTCCTATGACCTTTGAAAGATCAAGACTACACTGGCCATTCAAGGCAAAATCATCTTCACTATGTCAAGCTATTACGCACTTCATCTCATACCTTGACTGCAATAGCCACCTTTCTTATATCACTGAAGTTTGTAAATGCAGTGATTTGGTTGGATTGTATGTTAACGTTAACAAATACAGCCAGTTAAGAGTCCTTGACAGATGATCTGTAAAAATAAGCCATAATGTTTAAAGTCTGTCTGGGCTATGTTTGGCTGTATTCACTCTTACTATCCAATCAAATCGCTGCATTCCATGGTATAAGAAGATGGCTAATGCAGTCAAGGTATAAGACGAAGTTCGTAATAGTTTGACATTGTGAAGATTTAAATATAACCCTAATGTTCATTCATGGCTTTGAGAGCTTAAAAAGGTGTATTTTGATTAATGACTTGACATTGACGTACCTGCCATCATAAAACTTATCTAAACCTATATGAAGACAGAAATGACACACTGTTACACTAGACAAATTTGTTGAAGCTTGACCCCCAAAACCACATGTCATTTATGACAAAAATCTAGATATTATTAGACATTTTTGAGCCAATGCCAGTTGGAAATGTATGTGTCGTCTACTTTGCTAATGTTCATTTTGATTATTAGACAATTTCACAAATCTGGCTATTACTTCTTAGTCTACGTACAGCTTCAACGAAAGATGTATCCTCATCATAGACTGTCTGGGCTTCGGGGACTAAGCTATTATTGAAGTTACTATCCTAGTCAAGTTCCTCAAATGTCCAACATCATTTCACACAGTTGCTATTGTTCTTCTTTCTAGCAAAAATTTCATTTTTTTTCATCTTCCAAATTTATATGACTATTTTACTCAAAATGAAATGGATTTGATCAAATGCTTTGAGATTACTAATTTGTAAGGCTGGGCGATATTGGTTCACGTTGATATCACAATATTAAGTGTAGATGATCTAACCTGGGAAAAAATTGGATGATATATCATGATAACTACCATATATCACAATATGGTGACATTTTGTTAAGTTTTAATTTAACAATATAACTAACAATATATATTCATATACTGGTATATCGCCAAGCCCTACTATTATGCATTCCCCTTAACCACATGTCATTTATGAAAAGAATCAAGAAATTATTAGACACTTTTCAGCCAATGCTAATTGAAAATGTGTCTGCTTTGCCAGATAATATCAATTCTTATACCAGTATATTGCCAAGCCCTGCTATTATGCATTTTCATTAGCCATTGAGTAAAATATTGTACAATTGGCTTGATGTACACGATATATTTTTTTTACATTGTGGTATTTCTCTGTAAGACTCTGTTAAAGCTGGTCCTATGCCGACAGAAATCTGTAATATGCCTATGAGGAAGGGGATGGTGCATATATAATTTGAGGCTCTAAATTTCAAACATTGAAATTTCAAGACAAATAGGTGAAATATGCAACATTTACAACAAAGTAACATTTCAATTAAGATCTTCTATCAAAAATATGATGCAAATTCTTTGGAAATAGCCTAAAAGGCAAAGCCACTAAACTTTTACATTTTTCTAAGGAACAGCAGATAAATCTTCATCATGATAAATATTTTATAAAACAAAATAACATAAGCTTATAGAGTAAATCATAAAATCCATACATAATCTTTTAATAAAGAAACTGAACACAATTAAACAAGGAAATTTCTTCGGATTCTGTGTGATTTAAAAATACTCCATATTTGTTTAAATTTATCAGCATTATTAATAGATAATCAGTTTTTATATCCATATATACCAAGTGTTTCCAAGTGAACCTATTGCTTCATAAAAGGTTTTCTTACTTTTGTGTATTGGGAGAACTTTTTCCACAATTTCTATTTCCTATCCCAAATCCCTGGTTCCCGTAATTCCAAAACACTTGATACAGATTGTCACAAATATACCATTAGGCTTGACTTGCTTACAAGTTATATAAACAATTAATTTTTGCCTCATGTATAACTGTACCACACAATGTTAAATTTGTTTCACTTTTTATATGAGAGTGGTATTATAAAAAAGCTTTTAACTTAACCCTCAAAATGTTTCCATAAAACTGTGATTCATTTCAAGATCAAAATATACTAAGAGGCTTCTCAAAAGACATAAATTCAAAAGTTACATTGTTTATAATTTACAATAAATATATCTTCATTATAATATTTATTTTATACATTCTTGTCACTGGGAAAACACTCATAAATATTCAAAATACTTTAAGGTAAACTGACGTATTTCAAGCTTAAAAATTTATATTGAAAAAAATTACAAAATTGATAGATTTGATATGTCTGTCTGTATGTTTTGTTTTGCTATGTCACTTTCCCAAAGGAGAACTCGCTAAATATTTTTAATATCAACTAATAGAGATAGACTTCTAATTTTAAACACTTTTCAGAAGACATGCATGCATAGATTTGAATTTTCATATATTATATTTGTTTCATAATCAAGATATAACTAAAAATAATTAAAAAGAAACATATTTTGTTCATGCTATCATGCTCAATAAACATAACAAACCAAAGAAAATAAGAGGTGGTTTGTTCTGCTTCACTCAAAATTTTCCAGATCAATTTCAAGATAAATTCCAACAAAATTTTACTTGAATACTAGTCAAACTTTGACAAAATAAAATATCTTTCGAGGAACAAGGATTGAAAAGCTTCTTAGTTAACTGAACTGTAAGACTCAAAATAAAGTCCATATATATTCTGACAATAGAAACACTTATAGGTTGTCAAAGTTTGCAACAATTGTGTAAGTTATTATCTGAAGAAGGAGAACCCTACCAACCTCCATTTTATTGGATTTTTTTTACGCAAAAAAAATAAAAGTAAAATGGTTGGTGTAAAGTACCCAATGCCTGAACACAGTGAAAATAAAAGAAAATATGTTAAGCCCTACTATTGTTAAGCTATAAGTATATCTAGAATACATGATAAAGGAACAGATTCGCAAATTTTGGGAGCGTATCAGTAAGCTGTAAATACTATAACTGATTAGCTTAGCTGAACAATTGCTGAATCCGTCCCTTTTAAAACACAGTTTACCAATTATATTGAAGTCAACTAGAACTATATGAAATGAATGGTGTTTTACGTCCTACTTTCCTGCACCATGTACTGGTACTGGAACTATAAGCTGATATTGCATTGTTAAAATTGCAATATTGCACATAATATTATTTTGAAATTTTGTTTTACAGAGGTCAAATTCAAATAAAATTTTCTGTAAATAACCTTACATAGCACTAAATCAACAATTTTCATATTGTGTGGCAGGCACACTTGGGTATTTTACACCAACCAATAATTAAGCTAGATATATTAGTACTTCTAGACTAACTAGCTTGTTTTCCTTCATTAATAGTAAGTTGTGCAAAGCCAATCAGTGCTTTATCACAGGGTACTTCATTGCTGTCACAACCTGAATTCAGACCAAATACCATGTTTTTACAGCTGCCATTACTGTCCAATATTTTCTGGAGATTGGCAGCAACAACTATTAAATCTTTACCATCCACTAAACCTGCCTCGACCAGTTCCCTTGATACACTGTCAGCTGTATCCTGACCGTGGGTAAAATCAAATTTAATATCATTCAATTCTTTTTTCTCGTTTCGTAGACGCAGAACTAAATTTATTGATCCTCCTTGAGGCGTTGCCTCAGCATCAGCAGCAGAATCTTCTGATGGAGGTTCTTCTTTCTTGGAGTCAGTATTAGTAGTTGTAGGTTGCTCTTCAGGTTTCTTTTCTGAAGATTTCGTTTCTGAAGGTTTCTCAGGTTTTTTCTCCACAGGTTCAGAGGGATTAGGTTGATTTACAGGGGAAACAACTCCATCCAGTGGGAAATTTTCACTTTCAGGCAGACGTGGAGATCTTTCAGAAAGAACAGCTAACTTTCCTTCTTCAGAGTTTTCATCTAATTCTTCATCGGACCATTCCCAACCACCATCTTTAGTTTTATGCAGACGTCCACTGGATCCTGGTACTCTCTTCACCTTTTGGGACTTCAGTGGCATTCCTTCCGACAACAAGGTTTTAAAAATGTAATTCTTGTCTTTAGCTTTCTTGAAGAATTCATTCTTTATTAATTGTTTAGCCGTAGGTCTCTTTTCAGGATCCTTTCTCAAACATTCATTAATAAGTTTCCTGAAAGCTTTACTGTAAGATTTATATTGATCTTTGTCGTCTGCCCCTGAATCCAAAGTTGGTGGGTCATTCTGTAAGGTCAACATCAAAACTTTCATAGGAGGATATTTGTGGTATGGAGCAGTACCTGTGGCCAATTCAATGGCAGTTATTCCAAAGCTCCAGATATCTGCCTTGAAATCATAGCCGGAAACCTGTTCCATGACTTCTGGTGCCATCCAGCAAGGCGTTCCAACAAAAGTGTGTCGAACTGCATCTCTTGTGATATCTTTTCCTGTAGCCAACCAAGCACTGACACCGAAATCAGCAATGTAGACAGCCCCTTCCTGTCCTAGCAAAATGTTTCCAGCTTTAATGTCTCTATGAATTTGCCCATTGCTATGAAAATATTCCAATCCTTTTAAGACTTCTTTCAATATGGTAGCAATACTAACTTCATCAAGAACACCATTCTTACAATTCCCTGCCTTCATTCTGCTCTTAATGATGTCCAGCATGGAACCACCACCACACAATTTCATTATCACCCACAATTCATCTTTCACAACAAAAGAAGTATAATAACCCACTACATTTTCATGTTTGCATTGGCTCATAGCTTGAATTTCCTTCAACAATTCTTCTACTGTCGTGTTACACTTTTCAAGGTTGATTCTTTTGATGGCACATTTTTCATTCCTGGGTCGACAAATTGCAGCCTGTACAACTGCAGTGGCACCGGCTCCCAGAACATTAAGTAGCTCATAATCATCCTTATCGTTTGACCATGGAACTACTGTCGGGGCCTGTTGAGGAGTTTCCGCCATTCTTTCTTTACTAATTCTTTATTATGTTGATTAGTTCATGTTCGTTGACACCAACCTTTCTCTAACTGCACTATTCTGCCAATGGCGATAAACACAAAATTACGGACTGACTACCAACTTATCGCCTAGTCTCAATTTTGAAACCACCGTACGATGTAGGCTCCACTGGAATATAATTCAAAACTCATAAATCCAAATCATTATTTTCATGTCCTCTGTTCTACAATGACCATTACCTTCTTAACTCACTAAATAAATTGTATGTTACCCATTACTTGTTATGTCCTTATTTCGACATATTGAAGTCATTTGAGGAAATTTCCACTTCAGGGGTCAAAAAGGTCAAATTCTAAATTGAAATTTTTAAGTCAATAAACCCTAACCATACAGTCATAGGCCTACTTAATGTATCTATATAATGCATAACACTGTGAATCTAACCCAATCTCTTTCCAAATATCAAGCAGCTGTGGAAATTTCCTAATATGTTTTGAAGAGTAAATATGTCCATTAAATGGTTTTGTTTCTATTTGTGTGTGTCATTAATGTGTGTCACACCCACGCAAGACAAGGCATTCTTAGCCTGCTCTTTCAGCGTCGTTGATCAACTGTAAGGATTATTCCAGGCCGATTCAATACAGCTCCATAATGCCCCCCCACCCCCCCCCCCCTCCCCCTGTTATTTTTACTGTAAGTTGAACCAATCGAATGGAAAAAATTGAGTGATATTTAGAATCTCTAGAGCGATTCAAGATCTAGACATGATAGGCCTATCATTGTGTAAATCTTTCACTCAATGATAATAATTGTTATTCGATTAACTTATAATTTCATTTGCACCACGTTCCCATGTCGTGTTCATGTCTTCAATTTATTTCTTGACAAAATACAGCAGGTCGACAAACGTTTTTGTTATTTTATGTTCTTGGGTCCGTTGGCCAAACTTAAAATTAACAACCGTAGGACTTGTGATGTAAGGGGTAGGCCTATGCATGAGTATAGGACTTTTACATTTGAGTTACTTATTACCAGCCTTGCGCATCTCAAGAGGGAGTGTGTGTATGTGCTGGGGGGCATCTATTTTCACCGAAATAACAATATCAGGTCCCTGATAAAGACATATACAAATTTATCCTTTGTTTCAATATACATTTTAATCTCCACTGTTAATTGAATGAATGGTTTTCATAACACCTGACACTAATTGGGCCAGAAGGTTAATTATATTCTCGGAAATCCACAACCAATCCGTAAATACAAAACGTGCCATGCAGAATTTCAATTTGAGAGTTACGTCCCTTTATTAATGTTACAGACAACGTTTAACTTCCCCATGTGTAGCTAGAAAAATTCTGGAAGTCTGATGAAGGGGTTATTGGGTTCAAGAACAAAACTCTATGTTTTATGTTGGCATTGAGTCCATCAATTTGGTTTTATTATAAATGTCCATTCAATTAGTAGCTTTAAAACTTGCTTCAATATCAGATTTGGGCAGTGGGCTACATGCAGGCTATCAATGTGAATACATCAATGTCATCAACAATAACAAGTAGGGGTAATAATTTAATAATAAATCCAGCCTATTGATTCAGATAACAGCTGTTTAAAATGAATTGCTAATCATATTATGGGTTCTCATATGATCATTGAGATACTTGTTCCTAGCAAAACCTTTACCACAAAATTGACATATAAATGGTTTTTCACCACTGTGTATCATCATATGTTGGTTAAGATTCGATTTATACGTAAACAATTTACCACACTCGTCACATTTATGTTCTTTAAAACCTGAATGAATTTTCATATGGGGTTTCAACATTCTTTGAAGAGCGAACCCTCTTCCACAAATGGTGCATTGATACGGTCGTTCATTTGTATGGGCAAGAAGAACATGTTCATCTAGTGTTCTTTCTCTCACAAAAGATTTATGACAATGTTGGCACTGATAAGGTTTGTTCTCTACATGCTGCTTCATGTGGTGCCGCAAGTTGCCTTGACGATAGAATTTCAAATCACAAATGTTACATTGCCAGGTTTTTTGTTCACGATGTTTGATCATATGTCGACTTAAGTATTGTTTGACTTTAAACGATTCACCACACTGATCACAAATATAATTGGTTTTGGTGTCATGTATGGCCATATGCTGGACTAAATTGTATCTACAAGAATAAAATTTGCCACATTCTGGACACTGACTATTGGCACGATTATGAGTCAAAAGATGACGCTGCAAGATGTAATTGGAACGAAACACTTTGTCGCATTCAGTGCAAGGAAATTGTCCATCTTCATTAGGAGGTACGTTCAAAATGTCTGCATCAGGCACAAAATTATCGTCTGGGCTTTCATGACCTAAAACATGATGTTTCAGTTCATCTTTAAAAGGAAATTCCATGCCACATTCCTTACAAATATGGTCAGCATAGGCCTCCTCATGTGTCCTTAAATGTTCCATCAGATAGTCTTTATCTACAAATGATTTTCCACATTGTTCACAGACTGGCATCCGCATTTGAAAATGATACAATTCATGTCGTTTCCATTTTCCTTTATTTCCAAACCCCTTGTTACACATTTTACAATGATAAATAATTTTTGGCACAAATTTATTGACGTTAGCTGATTTTGGACGGGTAGGAATGGATTCCATATACTTTCCTTCAAACAGTTCGGAATTTTCAATTTCATCTTCATGTGGATCATCAGTCAAATCATCTTCCTCTAATGGAACTTCATTTTCTACTACCTCTGGTGGTGGAGAGTCTTTTATTTCTACTTTTTCTGATTTCTTCTCTGGAGTTCCACCTTTGTGAAAAGCACTTAAATGTCGCTTTAGATTGGCCTTTGTACGGAATTTTCTCTCACATTCAACGCACTCATGATCTTTAATGTTGGTGTGACTAAGCTGATGCCTTAATAGTAAATTATTATATTTAAATTCTTTACCACATTCTAAACATACCCAGGGCTTGTGACCAGGATGAGTTAATTTGTGATCTGCTAAACTCTTAGTATCCAGAAAAGATTCACTGCAATCTGAGCACTGAAACGTTTTGACGTTTGTTGGAGGACTTTCTCGTTTGCACTCAACAGATAATTCACCATCAGTTAAATCCTTTTGAGAAATGTCCAATTTTTCAACCCTTTTACCACAAGAAACTTCAAGTACTATATTCCCTTTGTTGGATTTCTCCAAACCTTTCAGATTGATGTTGAAATTTTCATCTTTGGTTTCACCAAGATTTAAGTTGGTGCTTTTGCCTCCGAAGCTGATACTGATTATGAACTCTTGAGTATTTAAAGAACTCTCCTTACAGGATTGGCAAATAAAGTCATTGTCACTGCTGGTTAGCACACCTTTGTCAGTTAGACTGGTAAACATTGCTTTACAGCGGGAACACGTTTTTATGCTTGGCTTCTCGTTTATGTGATTATTTTCTGGCTCTTCGTCACTTGTGTCTTCCTCCAGAGACTGAGAACCTCCAGCTTTTTCTTGTCCTAAACAGTCCATGGATTCCAATTTGTCTTCCTCACCATCCTCGACATTTTTGTAGTCAGACAATTTGGAATTTTGGTTGCAAGTTTTATCATTCCACTCCCCTTTCACTTCATCAGATGAAATGTTGGAAACCTCAGTCTTTGATTCTTCAACTTGAATGCTTCTCATAGGTTGACTTGTAAAAGTAAGAGAACTATTCTGGTTTCTGTCATCCTTTTTGTGCACTTCCTCAGAGGGTGCCAAGACCAATTGATTGGTGTTTTGCTGAGGGATAATCAAAATAGGAGTCGAGCTGTTTTGAAAGTGGCTGCTGACGTACTGCATTGATCTGGCATCAAAGGCACTGATCTGCATCGGAAGGGGTGGTAGATCAGCTGTCACATTGTAAGGTGGGTGATTCTCATGGTATTGAGTTGGACGGTGGGAACCAGGACCAGCACCAACAGGTTGTGAGCTATCCAACATCTGTCTGTAATCATTTTGGTTTATTTCTCCTTGTCCTTCATATAGAGGAAGCATAGGTGGGATTGTAAAGAAGTTATCCATCACCTCTATTCAATCATTTATGGTCATCTTCTCAAGTCCTTACGTCTATGGGCTATAATCCATGTCTGTCAAAATCTGAAATTCAAAAAAAATAATACTTGTAAAAAATTTCTTATAAAGGATTATAAGGATAAAGGATTAGGCCTTCCATTAATTATGTTGATCTAAGGTCAAGGAAATGAAGATCATATAATAGACTTTGCCAGTAGTCTATCCCAAGATCGCTGCTGAATTTCTAATTTTCTAATGAATGAAACCAATAATGATAGTCCCTGAGAAAATCTGAGCAAGATAGACTAGGTTAAATGGAGTGATTACTGATTGAGTGCTTGAATCTTAAGTCTAAAAAATAATATTTATTCAAGATATTAGGTACGCGTACAGTACATAACTGTCAAAGTAGAAAATGCATTTATATCCCTATTTTAAAGCATTGGTGGCCCGAGTGTTGCTTAAAGGGATACTATGTCTTAGAATAAACATAAAATTTAAAAATTTTACACTTGGCCAATAAGAGCATATTATATTCATCAGTAGATATACCTGTTGTCATAAATAGCATAACAGGATCCTTAATCTGATAAATCCAAAAAACTTAATAAAATGCAATTAACTATTGAAAAAACGCTTAATATTATGATTAAGTGTTTTTTTCAATAATTACTTAGTTTATGAATTTTCCAATTTTCTAGATTTTACAGGAATTCTGTTGTAACTTTATTACTCCAGGTAAGTTCACTGATGAATATATACTCATATTGACCTTTCTTGAGAATTATATTTTATGTTCATTCTAAGACATAGTATCACTTTAAGACACTGAGTTTGAGATCGGTTAATAGGTTACATTTAGGCCTATAGTTCATGGATCTATATTTATCATTCTTTATGACTGGTATCGTATTTGGTTTGTGTACACCCTACTATAGACTATAGTACGAACGGTGGTAGGCCTATCACTCATTTGCTGTCATTGTCACCGTATCAGAAAGAGCCATTACAAAAGACACACTAAGCAAAATAAATCATAAACTTTTTTCTAATGACATGCAGAATGAATCACTTCAATTTCGTGAGATTTCAACTACCACACCTTGTAATTAGCAAAATGTTTTCCTTTTTAATATTCTTTTTAAACAAAATAGCAGCCATGTTGAAAACAGCTCGGGGAGGTAACTCATTAATGCAGGTCAGTTTTTAAAGACAACATTTAATTTTTGTAACAACCATCCACATGTATTTCATTGCAAATAAACAAGACGTCAGAGTTTCATTTCAAAGAGTGATTAGCTACTCTAAATTTGCTCAGCAAGGTAAGGGAATACTATTTGCATTCCGACAAAAGATTTGATATTATCTTTCATCAAAGTTCACTGAAAAGCATAGTCTTTAAAACCATACCCCCTTATCAACAAATTGGTTAGTCCATGAATCACTCTATCCAAATAGCATTAGATGAGGCTTTGAATTTTGACTTATCAAAACAGTCTTTTTTATACAAGAGGGGATGCCCATAGGAAAGGCTTCTCATATGTTATTCATGAGTTTTGTATGTGTTTGTATGTATCAAACAAAAGCATAAAAAAGGAAACATACAAGCTTGTTGATTGGCAAATTTGATAATGACATGAATTCTTATTATCTGTCCTTATATGATGCTTTCTTGCTAAAGTGAAACATGATAATAGTCCAATAGTTTTGGACGTGTTGAAACAGTAGTGTTAACAGAACCAGTACTGGAAGAAATAAAAGCCTGGTGTTAAGAATTTGACAATGTTTAATTGAACTGTACATAGTTGAGAAAAAAAAAGACGAGTAATATTTTACAAAAATAAGACAGAAATAATACCAAAATATACATTTTTGATATAAATACATAGACTTAACCACAAAAACTTACTGAAACACTGAAAATAACAAATTAGATTGTTTAGACAGACACAATTTGAAGAGAACAAGTGGTCTAAACATTTGCTGAAAATGACACAAAAGTGACAGTTTAAACTTTCATGGTAGTCTACATTTTGCTGCATTAGCAAGACAAAAATACTATACATATGGTTGAAATTGAGCTCTTGACAACTGTATGTCTTTAATATTTCGACCATGAAAGAAGTAGATGAAATAAGACATACCCATAGAATGAAGTAGTTTAACTACTCTTGAATAGAACAAATCAACCCATGAATAATTTTAACTTTAAAGAGATTGTAAAGAGGTTTTCTAAAATTTTTATGTGTCTAGGGAACACTGATAGCATCAATTTGCACCATTCCATTCTAGATGCCCGTGGTTTTTGCAATTCCACTAAAACAATGCGTTTTATGATGTCACTATCGCAAAGGTCCTTTTGCAATAGTGATGTCATAAAATGCTTATATTCAGTGAAATTGTAAGAGCCACAGTCGTCTGATTGAAAATGGGAATGATGTCAATCAGTGTCAGCGATACACATAAAAGTTTTAGAAAATCTTTTTACAATCCCTTTAATTGTTAGTTCCTCAGTAGGTTAATTAAAATAAATTATATTTTCATGGTTAGAAATTTGAACCACAATAATGAGTTGACCTAAGTGGGGCACTCTTGAAGGAGAAATACGTGATCACTGAAATTATAGAAAGGAAATTCGGCTCTGTTCACATAATGTTAATAAAATAAGAAAGCACATGTTGGGTGAAGTTTTACTGAAATTACTAAAGGTCTACTATATCTGTAAAAATAATGCTATCAATGGCCATTACCTATAATGCAGTGGTTCCCAACCTATTTCAGACTTCACACCCCTGAAGCAATCACCTGGACCTTTTACACCCCAAAAAATTGTTTCATTGATGATATGAAGGGCTCTCACCACTCAAAATAAATTCTTCTCCTACACCAGTTGGCCACACCCCCAGGATGGGAACCAGAGCTATAATGGCTGACATGAATTGAGTTTTACATCAATATATTAGACAACTTCTTTTGGTGTGAATAGATGAGGTATGGTGTCTGAACAGAAGCAAGATGTATCTGGATCGTGTCTGACCTGACATATCTGGCCCTACCCACACTATACCTAAATACAGTTGAAGGGTAGGCTTAACTTACAAAGATGTACCCTACATCTCTGTTGTATTGTGCACAGGGATATTGTATCCCGTAATGTCTTGATGGACTCATTTATGGTTCTGCTTTGTATAAAACCACAATTTTGCCAATTTGGCTTTCAACATGGTGAAAATTTTCAAAAACTATTGTTCCAAGTGTGGGACAGGGCAACACCCATAAAATGATATCTTGTATCTGGCTCTCTACGTGAAGATATCCAATCCATGTATCAAATATGAAGAATTGGTAAGACCGGATTTGTCTGGCTACACCGTGTCCAAACCCATACCTCTTGTATTCACTGGTTCTACAGTATCAATAATTCTGCACTGCACCATAAACCATACCTTATCTACACAGGATACAATACAGGAAGTGAAGTTGGCAATGAAATAAGTTAGTACAGCAAACAAAAATTTCCTACTCCATTTCAATTTCCAACAAAAAGATATACAAAGAACATAGAAAGAATCTTTGGGATTTGGGAATGGGGCAACTACAAAATTACAAATAATTCAAATTAATAAAATAGCTATCTATCTACAAAATAAAGCACTAATATTCAATAATAATAATAATAATAATAAACAATTAATTTCTTCAATAAACTATCACATAATTAGCAAATTAACAAATTAATACCACTTTAATAATAACTAGTATCTAAATGGAAAAAATGGCAAAAAAATGCTGACCCAGCAGCAGAGAGAGAAACTATTAAATCATTTTACTCAATCTGATTGAAACACATACTGAATGTGTAAAGTTTACTTTATATATATACACATATTAAATGTGTAAAGTTTGTTTACTATATGAATAATCATATTTTAAATGTGTAAAGTTTACTCTATAAATAAACACATATTAAATGTTTAAAGTTTACTATATAAATAAACACATATTAAATGTGTAAAGTTTACTCTATGAATAAACACATATTGAATGTGTAAAGTTTAGTCTATAAATAAACACATATTAAATGTGTAAAGTTTAACACATTGAATGTGTAAAGTTTACTATAAAGTAAACACATATTAAATGTGTAAAGTTTACTATATAATTAAACACATATTGAATGTGTAAAGTTTACTATATAAATAAACACATATTGAGTGAGTAAAGTTTACTATATAAATAAACACATATTGAATGTGTAAAGTTGATTAACTAAATGAATCAAGTATATGATTGTATGTGACTGCAAAACCAACCAGAAATCCAAAACAACATATTGGCAATACATTGGTAGAAGCTAATGAACTTTTCACACAAGATAACTGAATTAAGCTCATTTTCAGCTATCCAAATTATTTCAGAATTAGAGTTCAGTCATATTCCCAGAGTTGAATTGTAGGGAAAATGGGCGTAGGATTTGAATTCTGAAAAGTAATACAGATTGCTAAAATTCCATTCCATTCCATTGAACAACCATTTATACAAATCACAAGGGTACTAGGGAAAAGGAAGTCAGATTTTAATCCTGAAAAATGAAAATAGTGGTACTCCTTGCCATAGAAAGGCAATCACATCTGTTAATTGTTTGATTTTTCAAACAGCAACTTGCTATTTCCGAAAACAAAAAAATGAAAAAAAAAAAAACATGTATTTCAATCAGATTGACATTTGATGGCAAATTATAAATTCTTAAAAGTGACTGTATATCAAAGTTCATGTCATATAAATTAGAAATTATACGTAAAATAGTCTCAATGCTCAGGCATACTTTTTCACACTATATATATAGCACATATGTCTGCACAGTCATTCTACTAAACTGAAAAATTATTCTATAATTGTGGATGGCTGTTTTATGCAAAAAAGCACAATAAAATGGCAAGTTTTTTTTTGCTTGATTGATAAGCATCTTAAATATGATTTGCAAAACCTCAATATGTTGGATTATTGACTGCTAGGCGATTAAGTGTCGTGGGTTCGAATCCTCCTCAAGGTAAGAAAAATTCTGATGCCTGTGCTAGTGCTTTCGAGAGTGGTGTTGGCTCTGACTCTTAATACCTAATCACATAACAATCAGAGGGGTCGCTCGATTGGTGACTTCTGCAGATTTAGGATTAATGGAATCAACCAGACGTTTAAAAAAAGAGTTGGAACAGGGTTCAGAAAAAATTGAGGGTGCAGAATTCAAAATGGCGTAGAGAGGAATAGGAGGGAAAATTTTGAATGTGACAAAATCTGGTTCTGTACCATTCAATTGAGGACAGAACCGGAACATACAGAACCTGTTCAGAATTGACCAATCAAGCGCCACCCAAAATGTACAAGGAAAATATTAATCATGAAAAGTCATACAGATTGAGACTTCTGACATATATTATATATTATAAATCCTGAACAGAAAGATCAATAAATAATGCTTTATAAAAAGTAGAGGACAAAAAAAGCAATGGTGAAAGGAAGTTTCTCAAAATATCTCATGTTTCATGTCTACCTCATTGATTTTGTCTGGTTGTGGATTTTAACTATTGAAAATGAAATGAAATGAATGAAGATTTACTGCCACTTACGGGCTAATGAAGACAGGCAATTTGTCAGGACAGGGGCAGCCTACTCATTTTCTATTTTCAACTGTTGAGGGATTTTTAAACGTGCACAGCCTGTAGCACATACTTTTTCCATGTCAGTCCCTTCGACCTGAATCACTGACAAGGTGCAAGCAGTTTGAATAATCCAAAGGTATTTTCTGGACCTATAATGAGATAGAACCCCAGACCATCACGTTAGTGAGCAAGCATCTAACTCACTGTGTCATCTTTGACTTAAAGGGGTAGGTGTGCCATTTTGGGGAGTTGATCTTAGTCTTGAATATACGTCAATAGTCTTCAGACGTACTAGAAATGAAGGAAAATTGCATAATTCCTTCAAAATAACTTCCCCGAAATCAAACTAGGAATTTTACTCACAATTTCTATATATGAATTTTCTATATATCACAGAGTATCTTAAATTGACGATTCGTCAATTTAACATTCAATCGCAGATAATTCTGGACACATCATGGAATTGAAGGCTCAAATTTCGTCGGTGAGCTGTGAACACTATTACTGATTAACTTAGCTAAAAAATTCCTGTTTCTGAGACTAGAGTATGATTGGTAAAAAAAATGGCGCAGCTTTCCCTTTAAGGATAGATAAGTGACACAATACTGAAAGGAACCACAGGCTAACTGAATAAACTTTCAACTGTCAATGTTTCAGAAATGTAATGATGAGATATTTTGTGAAAAGTCTCAATATATGATTTCTATAAATATAAATTATGTCTAAATATATTACAAAGTCTGACAGACAACATTTAACCGGTTGAAAAATAGACCATATCAAAATTGTCATAAAAATTATAAGCAACTCTGAAAAAGAAAGCAGTCACTTGGTATTCAACACACACATAGTTTGTCACTTCACACATTTGAGAGCGTTATCTTTGAACACTCTAAACACATAACACTTAAATTCTCTGGTAGATAGAATCACCGTTTCACGCTTGCAAACACACTATCGATACTCTCATGCTGTAGAAATGGCATCATCGTAAAAAGTGATGTAAAGAACAAAGAAAATGGTGGACAAAGGTAGTGTATACAAGGATGAAATAAGTATATTTGATCATCGATTACTTTTGACAAATGTCTCTAAAATTTCTTCTGCCATTTTCAGGTTGTTCCTAGAAACTCTCAAAGCATCGAGAACTTTTAGTTTTTCAAAGCCACGCCCGACTAAGAGTTCAACATAATCTTCGTTGATACTTGATAATGTATCTGTATTTTCCTTGTTATTTATTTCTTGTATTTCTCGCAAACCTTCTCTTCTAGGCGGTGGCTGTTCTGGTCTAAAAAATAAACAAACAGACTGATTAGAGTTAATTCATTAACCCGTCTGCTCATTTTTGGCAGTAAGTCCTATCCTCATGATTATTTGTACATGGGTTGGAATATCCAAATTGTAGTGATAGTCTTAGAATGACTCTTTGCTAATATTTTCACATTAATAGTTTGGTCAAAATGGAACACTTTTGTGTGAAATATTTTGAAAAGTTGTGTTTAATTGTATTTCTATTGTTGCCATATTAACTGAAACTAAGTCCCACTAACATTAATGCGCTAGAAAGTGTTTCGTTCTCGGTCTATACCTTGATGTGTTAAAATCACAAAATATTCACGTCTACATTACTACAATTTCAAGAATTCTGTGAACTGTTCCATTAAAGTGTATATGATCTGCTGTTCTCAGACACATTTCAATGGAACTCTTCATGAAAGAGATAAATATAGACATCCTAGCAACTTGGATGAAGAGAAAAATAATTAATCTGGCAGAAACTGTTCTCCTATCAGGTAGCATTTACACTACACAATTTATCTGTTCCGTTCTGAGAACTGTTCCAAGACCACCTCACCTCAGTAGTCTCGAATTGGAACAGTTCTGCTTCCACTAGTCTGTCATCCATTCCGTTCTTGAAACAGTTCCAAGAACAGATAATTTTTATAATGTTTACGGGACTTAATATTCCAATTCATTAACAAAATCATCAACTTCACAATTTAATACTACAAGCTGGCTCAGTTTTGTGTGCAAAGGTGAGATATTGCATACACCCATTACCCTTCTGAAAGCAAGTGGAGGGCTTAGCCAGATCAAAGCAATTACAGATATTACAGTTTGGTGAAGGCCTAGTAATAGAATGATTCTGTGGCTCCACTACCATAGGAACTGGTTGTACCATGGGCCAAGTCCATGGGCCCCCCTAACCCAAGAAAAAAATGCAGGAGAGCATAGGTTTGAAAGAAATTACCAGGGGAGGGGCCCCAATCCACCCAAGTCCATGGACCCCAACTCATCTAGTTGAGCCAGTGGAAACATTAGACAAAAACAAAGAAAGATTGGAAAGCTTACACTTTGGACTCATCTTCAGTGCTATCTGCTCTTCTATTTTCAAAACAAGGTGGTACAGCATACTCGCTGGGAATTCGGAATTTTTTGGCATTTCCTGTGACGGAGAAAAGAGTTCCTGTAATTAGAGTTCCATGCTACGAATAAGCCACAACACAGACAAGCAAAGCAAAAGCACAATACACAACAATAAGGTTACTGTCACAGGTAATACTGTTATATCATTAATTTTCTTGTCTGGCCCACTATTTCCAATTTCCTCTAAATTTTCAGATACATTTGTAGATTGACAAAATTCAAGTATTTTTGCTACCTCTCTTATTTCATTATGTGTACTATCATCTTCACAATGGTTAAGGTATTGTGAACTTCATCTTATACCTTGACTACAAAAGCCACTATTCTCGTATCACTGAAGTTTGTAAATGCAGCGATTTGATTGGATTAGATTGTATGCTAGTAAATACAGCCAATCAAAACCCTTGACAGAACGTCTGTAAATATAAGAAATAATGTTCAAAGTCTTTCTGTCAAGGACTCTGATTGGCTGTATTTGCAGACGTACGATCCAATCAAATTTCCATGATACAAGAACAGTGGCTATAGCAGTCAAGGTATAAGACATAGTCCAAAAAACTTAGTAATTAATCAAGGATTGGCAAATATTAGAAATACTAAAATATTGAGCCTCACAAATATCAATGATTTCACAGTATTGGGTGAAGCTTGATTGGTGAGTTCTGCTTCCTCTGGAATCAACCCCAAACAATAGGTTTATTATGCTGGAACTCACTAATCGAACACAACCCTAGTTTATGCTAAGAAAAATATCAAAGGGACAGGCACACATGAGGATTTTACTGAAGTTCGGTGACAAAAATCGGTGACAAAAATCAGTGACAAAAACAAGTTGCGTGCCCCCAGCATTAGGAAAAATCATGGAGGCATCCCATTTGGTTTGAATGTATCCAGTTTATCATATTATATTGTTTATGCTCCACAACAAAATATCAAAACACAGCGTTGCAAAAAATGAGCTAAAATTTTGGCAAAATTGAGATCTATCATTTCTACTGCTAGTAAAATATGATGCAAATGCTAGCCAAATACTTCAATTTACTAATTTAGTCTAGCACAAATATTTCTACTCATTCGGGTCCGCTTCAATCATAAACACAACCTGTCCACTTCATCTTTAGGTAGCTTAAAGATACATTCCGATTTCGTTGTAGGTCCAAAAAAATCTGTGCTCAAATTTGTGAAAACTATACACCAAAATCGAGAGAAATGCGCCCTTTAACGTATCTGAAAGTTTTAACTAAAAAAAATCCAGCCATTAATTTTCAATCGGTAAAAATATTTTTTTGAAATATGATGTAAGGTTTTTAAGTTTGTTATGTTTTTGGAAGCTGTTAGAAAACTACTCTACAGATCTGAGTAAAATAATTTCCAATTACTACGTATTCTACAGGTTTAAACTTAAAGCCTAACACCAAAGTAGGTCAAGTAGGTTTTTAATTAACCCTTTTAAAACAATTTCCGTTATATCAAGTAGATATCACATAAATATAAATAGCATACTTTAGAAATATTTTCAGGTATAATTTACAATGTTTTTGATAATGGAAAAAAAGCAGAATACCCCCTTTAAGTATTAATCATCACAATGTAAGTCTAGTCTATATAGTATCTATAACTATTTATTCTACCTAAAAATGAAGTGGACTGCTGGTCTTTATGTTTTGAATTGGATGAGTAGAAATATCTTTGAGTGAATATACAAAGGGCTACAAATAAAGCACTACAAGCTCTAGCTCTATAAAAAAAAGTCACTATTAGTATTACTGTGAACTCTCTGAAAGCACATGCAGTCTAGACAAACTACAAATACGTATAGAAACAACAGGCACAAGACATAAAACATACGAGGTTTAAGAATGGAAAGAAAGCTCAGCTAATATGGAATTTTTTTCAACAAATTCCTTTTGTTTTGGTCTAGTAGGCAATCAAACCAGTTAGAAATTTCAGTTGCAAAAATACCCAAAATTCAATTTCAAACCTACATGCAAACATGACAGAAATAGCAAAAAGGTTATCAAATTATACACGAGCACCATGGGCTTTTTATCAGAAACTTTGTATTTAAGATTCTCTTGAGTAATTTACTTTAAGAATCTAATATTAGTCAATACCATTACTGAAACAACAAATATTTTGTAATGTTCTCTTTTGATCATCTTAAAGAAACACTACCTCTTAGAATGCACATAAAATATAAATTCTAAAACAAGGCCATATGGTCATATTTATCACTGTAGTATAGTTATAACGCCAGTCAAGTGCTTTGCATCTTCATAATGTCAAGCTATTAGGAACTGTGTCTTATACCTTGACTGCAATAGCCAACTTTTTTTAAAGCTTGTAAATGCATCGATTTGATTGGATTGTACCCTTGCAAATACAGCCAATCATAGTACTTGATGACATGTGTAGCCAAATTGTTTAAGTATTTCTGTCAAGGTCTCTGATTGATTGTGTTTCCTAGAGAACAATCCAATCAAATCGCTGCATTTACAAACTTCTGTGATACAAGAAAGGTGACTGTTACAGTCAAGGTATAAGATACAGTTTGTAATAGCTTGACATTCTGAAGATGAGTCCTCTGAAGAATATTATTCTCTTATTGCCAAATTTGAATTTTATGTGTCATTCTAAGTGGTGAAATTTTCTGATGATTATAAAAACAGCCTCATGGACAGAAAATAGGTTCAGAATACTAACCTCCTTGACTATTAGTCGTAGAAGAATTTGAACACGATGAGTGAGGGGCTGTGCTATTTACAGGATGGACGCCTGGCATAGGATTATCATATATAGAATCAGTATTGGTACTGCTTACTAGGCCACTGATACTAGTAGAAGTACTCTTTGGTAGGTTACTAGTTGAGTCATAACGTAACTCGGCATAAGATACACCTAATAGACAAGAGACAGAAAGAATAAGCTAGATGGTGAAGCATTATCGGCCACAATCTTCTAGTCAGTGTGCAAACAATGAGTGATTTTGTAGAGCAATGTATTATCAAACTGTGTGTGTAGAAAAACTTTTTCAAATCCTACAGCATCGAAGTGACTTCAAAGAGGTTTTTCTAGCCTTTATACATGTACTCCAGGTACCATTCCACTATCTTTAACCTTCATATTGCCTGAATTTCCCCAAAATCAGTCAAGGATGTGGATTTTAAATTCCAAAAATCATGAAAGTGGACATCCACTTCAAATAATATCTGAAGCACGCTTAAATACTGTATATTTGCGAATATAATACGCACCTCTTCTTACCATCCAGTATATCTGGGAAAATCTGTCATGGTAAATAATGTTAAATATGGTAATTATATTTCAGCAAGTTATTCTGTCCATGTTTTCTTTACTGTTGACCATTCTTATCTTAGAATCCCAATGGTCATGTGATCAGGTGAACTCTGAACATTCCATTTTCAGTAATTTTAGGCCTATGGGTTACTGGTTTGTGCAAACAAGCCATTTTAAGTGTTCCTGATGTACATGTAAAGGCTAGAAACCTAATAATAATCCCTTAAAGAGTCGGTCAAAGGAGGACGCAAAAGTGTTTTTGGATTCCAGTGGATAGGTTTTGTACAAAAAGAATTTATAAGCTCAAACAAACATTAAGCTCTGCATCTTTCTATATGTGAATGATGCGAAAGCTATTGTGAAAAAAGCGATTAAGTAGACTTAAATCTAAAAAAAAAAAATCAAAAAAAAGATTGAAAATGTAGAATATAAAAAAAAAAATATTTGAATAAAATCTACTGTAATTTTTTTTGGAAAAATTTAGATGATTTGCTTCATGTTTTTTCTGCGGGTCACTCTACTTGCCACCCATAATCTCATGCTATATATTTTAAGTTTGAACATCAGTAAAATATTCAACCAATTAAAAGATTGATAAAAGTTTACCAAATGTGAATTCTAGGGCATTCATAGTTTGATATTGTAATTCCAATTTTTACACTGTTTTTGATTGGTTAGGTAAAATTCTGAACATGTTTTGAAGAACAATTTCTTCAGATCATGGATGGTGATTGTAATAACTGGCAGAAAAAGCAAGAAACAAAACATCAAGATCTGTAATTTGATCAAATTGTTTCAAAGAAATTGAACAAACTTTGATCTTTTTCTTGATGATGCTGTTGCGATGTTCGTGCTGGAGGTGTTGGTATCTGAATAGAGTTACCTGTCCTTCCCTCAGGTGGCGTTGGTGGTAATTGACGTCTTCTAAAAACACAAAAGACAAAACTAAAAGACTGAATATATCCATTTGTTTTGAGGTAATTGAAACATATGTTGAAAAATATTATTAAATCACATTTGTATAGTCTTCAGATTGAACTCTCACTCCCATTTACTGGGTTCTTTGATCCTAAGTTAAAGAAAACGATGATATTGTTCTATTCTAATGAAATAACCAGTTTTGATAACGTCATTAAAACTGGAATCCGTTAAAAAACTTGTTAGATTTCAATGGAGACAAAATAAGAAAAAAAAGAAATGGAATTTTAATCTAGTCTTTATTAGATTGGTTTCTCCAGCTTTTGAAGGACAAGTTGCTAAAAATAGTCTTACCCCATAGGTTGTGGTGAAGAAGCTGGTGAGGGTACAGGAGAAACAGCTCTAGGTGGTACAGGTGGGGGTAAATTTCTTTTATTTGCATGAGGAGATTCAAATGGTGAACTTCTATCTCGAGACTGTAAATATAGGAGAAATCAGTTGGCATTCAGGAATTATCATGATCAGTTTATTACAGGTTGACCATTTGTTTGGCCAATTGTATTTTAATCTCAGAAATGGGATATATCTTAGCAAAGCTAACCAGTTATGGTGTTCACAGCTCACTGTTGAAATTTGAGCTTTCAAATTCGTGTGCATACAGAATTATCTGTGTTTGAAATTTAAAATGACAACTAGTCTCGTATCTCGGTCATACATAGAAAAGACATATCTGAAGAAATTAAATGATTTTCGAACACTTTTAGTATTCAAGACACAAAATGGCAAATCTGTCCCTTTAACCCATTTAACAACTAAAAAAAGCTCCAAATGCAATTGTGCTTATCCAAAAACTCTTTCATTCATGCCATTATAAGGAGCATTTTATTCTATTAGTATTTATGGGGTCATGATGATAGATTCTTACCCTATCTCTGGGACTAACTGCTAAGGCATGTAAATTTGTTGTACCACCAATAACATCCTGAAAAATAAAATAAATATAAAGTCTTTTAAAAAAGCAGACGTGGAAATGTGAAATGATGTTTCATGTCCTAATTTTCTCCTCAAATTGGGGAAACAGGTATTGTTTAGCTAAGTCACCATATTTCCCATTATAGACCTTGTTATCAAGACCATTTGCCGCGCCAAGTCTTCCCAAATAGGAGGCAGAAAGACAAAATGGGGAGACAACTGTCGAGGCTGAAATTCAACATATGGCAACTCTGCAGAGGCGTCATAGTCTCAGGCCTCTCATGGAGCGAAAATTCGAGAAAAATTGTATTGATTTGGTGTATTCGGACACATATTTTAGGGTATAAAAAGTATAAAAATAAAGTGGGGGTACAATTGGGGGTGCAAACCAATTTTCTTCATATTCCAAATTAACCCATGATTATGCTGATTCTTAAAGAGATAATGCTATGTTTGTTAAAGGCTTAAGAGAAATAATATCTTACTTCATCATCAACATCATTATGAACATGTCTGGTTTGATTAAAGGGATCAACCACTACTTGTTCTGTACCCTTAATTTCACATCGACAAAATGGACATCCTTGACCATCAGTATCCTGCAAAAAAACAATGGTTATAACAACTGTTTACAATCTACAAATCCTCCAGTCCTGTGCCAGTGCTTTCGTAACTTTGTCATTAGTACAAAGTTACAACCTTTACTCTTTAACAGAAGTTACAAAAAAGCAGGTCTTGTTTAGGTCTTGGATGACGCATGCGCAGTCCTTAATCACATGCACAGTCCTTAATCGTATTTTACAATAACTTTTCCAAAACATCTGCGTCTGCCAATTTTTGAAACTTACCTGCCAAGCAGAGAGACAAGGTGTACATAATAAATGACCACAAGGTTCTATTCTAATATCTTTATCGTTTTCAGCACATATTTTACACAGTTGAAACGTTGAACCCATCTCACAATATAATTCATATTGTTCTTGTGTCACTCTTATATGATCTTCTAAACTATCTTGAACTAAATAACTTAAATCAGGATTAACACTACGACCATCTGGGTACAGAAAACTGAATAAAAAAAAAAAAAAGTTTGTGTTGACAATTCAGCATTGGAAAAGAAGAATATAACTCAAAAGCTGTTTCCCCTTCAAGAAATAACTGACTCTTGAAAGCACTGCCAGTGACATGTGTTAAAGGGACAGATGCTGCATTTTGTTGACTTCAGACTTGAATATATGTAAACAGTCTTCAGAAGAACTAGAAATATACACAAATCTCAACATTCAAACGCAGATAATCTTAGACATACATGGACTTGAAGGCTCAAATATTGATGGTGAGCTGTGAACACTATTACTGATTTGCTCAGCTAAAAAATTCCAGTTTCTGCAGCTACAGTATGATTGTCCCTTTTAATGAATAAAGTGAAATATCAGCTTCAAAATAGTAAAAATATTCATAAAATGGCTGTGAGTTGTTCAATTTGCAAACATAGGCAGATATCATCATTTGGAATTATGTGTTTCAGCTTACAGAGGGCAATCAATTTTCAGACAAATCAAGAAAATTTTGGTTGAAATTTAATACAAGAAACTGTTTTATTCCATTCACCAAAAAATTTACATTTTATTAGTCATTTTTTTGACCATCAGTACTATTTTAAAACTGATAATCCACAGAATATAACCATAAATTGGAGTAGCAAATAATGAAATCTTTTCGCTGTTCTTTACCATCATGATAATCTAAGCCTATGGTAGATACATAGCAGACAAAAATGAATTATATCATATCCAACTCCTAAAAACAAGGTAGGATAAAAATTACTACTTACAATCCTTCTCTCTGTCCATCTAATAATGCCTGACATAAAGACTTATTTTGTGGTATAGTCTGTAGGATCTGACCCTCTGCAGTCACATAACCTATAGCCCACTGTCCTAGTCTAGTACAACTTAATCTAAATACATAACTGAAATGATACAAGAAACACAAATTATTTCAGCTTCATTAACAATACAAACATTTAAAACATTGGGACTTAAAAAAATCTTCTAAAGCTAAGATTACATATAATTATGCATCATGCGTCATCCGTTATGCGTTAATAATCTAAATGGTTGGTTTAAGAGGGTATGATTCCATATATGCGGAAGCGGTATCTGTCAAATGGACTCCGTCATGCGTCAAAAAAAAAATCGCAGGGTGTAGCGATTTTTGAGGCATCCGGATGCCTTTCCGCATGGAGATCTCCCAAATGTGACGTATTTTGTGGGGATTCCCTGTCTTTTTTATGCACCAAAGCATCCATCTGTCTAGAAGTCCGTGCGTCAAAAGAAAGATAACGCATACGTTTAACGCACATATGGAATCATATGACGCATCATGACGCATTACGGAACCACAATGGCCATTTATGTCTGCATGACGCGTAAATGGAATCTTAGCTTAATGCTAAAAGTTGATAAACTTTAGAAAATTTTCAAAGAATGTTTATACATTGTGTACAAGAGACAGAAATCATAGATTAACCCATTCCAATTTTTATGATCTGTAGTTCTCTCAATTCCACTAAAACTGATGTAACTATAATTAACAGCTTTTGTAATAGCGACATCATAAAATGCTTAGTTTTAATGGAATTGCATGGAACAAAGATGTTAGATGATTCAAAATTGGGATGGTGCAAAATCGATTCTTTCAGTGTCCCTGACACACATACAAAGTATAGAAAACCTCTCTCTTTAAGTTGATGACATCTTAGATAAAACTCTCTAAAAATTGAAACCTGATTTACTCTCTTTTGATACTGTTGTTGCCCAGGATAGAGACAATATATACCATAGTGCTCGCAGCACTAGCAATGACTTTTGGCTTACAGGTTTTTGGGTTTTTTTGGGGGTTTTTTCCATATGAATGTATATGTATTTCAGTGCCTTTACATCTTGTGGTTATGTACTTGATCACATTAGAATAAACTTGTCCATTTAATACATATGTCTTTTCTGTATACATTGGTTAAGTAAGGGGAGTTTGTACATCTTTCATGATCATGTACTTGATCACTGGAACACAGTATTTCCATTTAATATATATGTACTTGTGTATTTGTTAAACAGGTTGTCCAATGAAATGAAATGAATGCAGTTTTACGTCCTATTTTTCTGCACCTTGTGGGCTAATGAAGACGGGAGGTTGTCCATCAAGGTATTGTGCATTTTTTTTTTTTTAAAGAGGTTATTATTAATATTATTATCAATTTTTTGAGGTTAAATATTACAATTTCTATAATATTCAAAATCATTTCATTTTCTTTTTTCTTTCTTGAGTATATGAACAGTAAATTATTGCTCAGAGCATGTAGATTTGAAGTTAATATTTACTGTTTCCCACCCTTTAGACTGACAATAATCATAATTTAAATACATAATACAGTTTGTATAGCTTCTGAATATGCAGATAGCATAACTATGCAGTGTTCAACGAGGGATATTTTTCAAGGAAAGCAGCCTTAGTCTAGCCATTTTTATTTCCAACTGTTAAGATGCGGGCATACAAGCCGTCTTGGTCGGAGTTTTTTGTCACCGATAAGACCCATGAGTAAAATGTCATCATCCAATCAGATTTGCCTTTCAAATGCATGCTCTGCACGTGATTATCGACATACTGGAAAACGACGAACTGGAGATTTTTGTCTCCTCGTGTGCCCGTGCCAGTCGTTGAAACTCTTGACAAGACTTTAGTCAGTGAACAAAATCTCCAACCAAGAAAGCTCCTGTGCTCACACCGTAAAGAGATCATTATTTGTACAGCCTGTAGCTCATGGTTTTGTTCTGGATAAGGAGAAATTGTTTCAGCAAATCAGCTCCTCCAACCTGCTTCACTGACAAAAGAAACCATGTCATATATCAAACCCTAACGTCCTGGCTAAATATCTATGAAAGACTCTTAGTGCTATGTTCATGGGTCTTTAATTACAACACTATTTATGAGATATCCTAGTTCTAAGATTGTTTCAAGAAGACACACGGTTGGTGTTAACTGAATGCTTCCTATTTGTATAAAATCTGAGACAATATTTAAAATATAATAAGCTAATCTTCCTATGTGGTAGTTTTATTGACATTTGTTTAGTTAATTGTACGTGAACATGTGTCAGATTGTAATTCTGAAAAGTCATACTGAAGGCTAAAATCAAGCTCTGAGGGCTTGTAAAAACATTATTTAGACATCATATCTCCCTGAAAGTTTGTGGATATACACAGATAAAACTTCAAAAATATTAAAAGAGTCATTTAAATGTCTAATTAGGTTTTAGTTTGAATGAATTTATAATGTTATTGAATATTGAATAATAATAGAAGGAAGTATAACTGGAAATGTAGAACTGGGTCATATCTAAGTGTATCAAGGTTTGTTATATGATACTAACAACAGGACACGTTTAATACGTAATAATGTTTACCTCAATCCAGAAATGGTCACTGCCCTATATACAATCGAACCTAGTTAATAATGGATTCCCATTGAGGAGTAAACAATTCTGATTACCGGTACACAGATACCAAAAGTTTTCAGACCACTGCCTAAAAATCCACACAGATTCATCATCTCTTTAAAAGGGAAAAGGCACAAGTTGTGAACACTTTTGTTTGTCTTTGTTCTAGGGCTACAGCAGATTCTGGCCATAAATCTATCCTTTTTCAGTCAATCTACAAAGTGTATGATTGTCATGCAGTTAAGCCATTAAGTCCAACTAGAACATTCATCTTTAGTTACTGCTCAAAATACAACCAAGAAAAAAATATAGCCTGACCTTAATTCTATATGAATTTGAGACAAATAGTGCGTTTAGATAACTAAAGTCTTTGAAACCGTTGTCTGAACGCAACTAGTTAAACTTTAGCTACCTTAACTAGCTTCTACTTCAGAGATGGCTCAAAACCTGGCTTGAATACTTAAGCCAGCTTGACTTAGTTTAGCTAATATTAGACAAGATATATGTCATGTCTGCGCATGTCCATTCTTGATGGCATGTTTTTGAAAAGAATGAGATGCTACAACTATGGTGTTTGTTCAAAGTGTAGCATTTCTGTTGGAACAGTGTGACCTTAACTTTCAGAGAAACAAAAACTACATCCTATTGTAGTTCAGATCCTGAACCAACTTAAAGTGTCACTTCTCCTTTTCTTTTGTAACCTTATTCAATATTAAAAGGGATTGAAAAATTTTGATGTGTATCAGGGACACTGTTAGCAACAATTTGCATCATTCCAATTTTTAGTTAGATGTCTACAGCTTCTGCAATTCCAGCAAAACTAAGGGCTGTATGCAGCGCTCTTACCTTGACTAAAGTCGAACTTTACAAAGTTAGGATTAAGGATTTCAATTTCCTACATTTGATAGTCAAATTTAAACACGACTTTCATAAAGATCGACCAGTGCATACCTAAAGTTCGATTTTAGTCAAAGTTAAGGTAAAGTACGAGCCCTGCATATATGGCCCTAAGTGTTTTATGATGTGACAATGGCCTTATGTGATATACACAGATTTTGTCCTTGGTGATGTTTCAGTTGAATTGCAGGAACCACAGACGTCTGACTAAAAATTTGAATGATGCATATAAATCTCTTTACAATCCCTTTAACAACAAAGGAGAACAACATTCCCTGCCGAGACTTTTGATCTAGTGTGTGCAGTCCAACCAGTTTCACATATTCAATTGTGTTTATTGTTTGCAATCATTCGACACAACATTTCCTCAAGTATGAAATTACAAACCATGTCAAATAAGAAATAACTTTTTAAAGCTTTCAATTTCAACCGTCGAAAGTTCAATTGATAATTTTTTTCCCCAATATTAAAGATTAAAATAGGAGAATATGGCTTTTTAGGCCATTTTTGAAGATATCAATTGCATATTTTTGAATTATTACAATCTTTTGAACACCAAATTTGGAAGACAAAAATTTTGGATAGGCAGAACTTTCCTTATTAATGTAATTATATATGAAGACAGGTCAAAGTGCCATATTTTTTCATGAAAAGTGGCAGACAGTAGTTAAGTTTTAAATACAGGAAGTCAAAACTTTAACAATACAAGTGACCTTTTACATAGCATAGACTACTGTTATTAACACATACTATTCTATCAAATCATACATATAAAAATATACTATGATATAAATATCTTGTAGGCTTATAGTGTAAGTAAACACATATACAAACATTAGTCCTATACATTTCATATGAGAAATTTTGAAATATCAACATGAGAACAAGTTCTTCTTGTCCAACTTCAGTAGGGACACAGGCTGAATTAAGTCAGTTGTTTGAAGATCGCATAACGTGAAACTCTGGGTAACAAAATGTTTTAGGTTCTGTTTTAATATTTCTTTTAAGTTCTACAATTGATGTATTGAGCACTATTTTCACATTAAAGGGATTGTAAAGAGGTTTTCTAAATATTAAATGTGTATCAGGGACACTGATAGCATCAATTTACTTTATTCCAATTTTCAATCAGATGTCTGTGGTTCCTGCAATTCTACTAAAATTAAGTACTTGATGACGTCACTAATCACAAAGTATACTTCAACATATAAGGCCTTTCGCGAGTAGTGACGTCATCAAAGAAATAATTTTAGCCAAAATGAGGGAACCACAGACATCTGAATGAAAATTGGATAGGTACAAATTGATTCTATCAGTGTTCCTGATACACAAAACAAATTTCAAAAACCTTTTTACAATCCCTTTAATATGTTCAAACAACTTTGTTGATAGTCTTATCAATGTCAAATGAAATGATGCCTATCTGCACGCCATTTCGCCGATGAAGTTTCAAATTGTCAATGAGGGTAAATTTTTCCGAACAAAAGCTTCCTTTGTTTCAATAATAACAATTTTTATCTCTTTATAACCAGATTATACTGAATGATCACAATAATTTTGTTATTTCCACCAAGTGTTAAAGGGGCAGTATGCAAAATTTTGATTATCAAATCCTTCGTGAACTATATCTTAAAATATTTCCAACACATGTTATTTACATTTATGTATCTACTTGAATTTGTTTTAAAAGGGTTAATTAAATATAGAGGGAACACTGTATTAATTGGTTTCAACTATCGAGTCTGCATTAAGTCCAACATCAAAACTAGTTTCAAAGCCTAGGCCTAAGCAGCTTAGGCTTTGAAACTAGTTTTGATGTTGGACTCAATGCAGACTTGATAGTTGAAACCTTTAAAATATGTAAAAGACATATTTTTGTACAATTAGGCGTTTAATTTAATTGCTTTGATCAACAGTTTTTTTTTAACACCTTCCCAAAAGCATAACGAACTTAAATAGTTTAGTAAGAGTAAGCCTTTCAAATAGTTTTGGTGTTAAACAATTAGAGAGACTTTTTCAAATTAAAAACTTGTCAGAAAGAGTGTAAGATTCTTGTTTCTCATGACTTAAAGGGATTATATTAGAGGTTTTCAACATTTGTTATGTGTATCAGGGAAAATTTTCTATCAGATGTGTGTGGTTCCTGCAATTCCACTAAAACTACGTCACTACTCACTAATTGCAAAATATGCTATATCCCATAAAGCCCTTATCAATTAGTGGCATCATCAAACACTTAGTTTTAGTGGAATTGCCAGAACCACCGACATCTGATTGAAAATCGAAATGGTGCAAATTGATGCTATCAGTGCCCCTGAAACACATAAAATTTTTTAGAAAAACTAATTACAATCCCTTTTAAGGTCATGAAACACAAATATGCAATTACATCTAGAATTTCAGCAATTATTATTTTGCTTCCTTGTTACATTAACTTATACAACTACATGTAATATATATCATGATTATATTTTAATATATGGTTTCAATACCATCTTCACAACGTCAAGGTATTACGAATTTCCCCTTTTACTTTGACTGCAATAGCCACATTTCTTGTATCACAAAATGCATCGATTTGATTGGATTATACCAGCGAATACATCCAATCAGAGCCCTTGACAGAATGACTGTAAACATTATGGCTTAAAGTTTACAGACTTTCTGTCGAGGACTCTAACTGGCTGTCTTCGTTGGCATACAATCCAATGAAATCATGACATTTACAAACTTCTCTGAAACAAGATGCAAAGTGACTATTGCAGTCATGGTAAAAGACGAAGTGCGTAATACCTTGACATTTTGAAGATGTTAGACTGCTTCTGTGCTAGAACATTATCTTGGCCATCTCTAGTATTTAAATCTAGAAAATTCAATGCTTGATTCAAGAGGAGCATTGGATTTTCTATGACTGGCTGTGCCTTGAAAAATCAGACCCAATTGCTTGCTGCATTTAGTTAGCGGATTTGCACCGAAAAATGGTTACCGGTACCACGCTCTCAGATGCAGGTTGTCCAGAATACAGTTGATCACAGAATATGTTAAAGTCTGTTAATCTCTGAATAATTTGCAAAATTCGGTAGTTTACAATGATTTACAACTGTACTGACTGGAATAATGAGGAGAGAAGACTTAATCCAAGCCAACCAAAATTTCAATTTAAACCAGAAGCATTGTTCCTCTGAAAACATTGAGAATCCAAGAGTATCATTTTACATACCTTCCAGGTTTGGTCATATATTTTTGTAATCTGGCTTTGACTTCATCATACGTAAGGAAAGCCACGTAACCAGGGTGAGTGACTGCTAGAACATTCCAATTTCTTAATAAATTATTCCATGGTTGAAATAACCTGAAATAACCAAAATTAATGATAGACAAGTAACAAAGATAGCTTGCTAGGCAAGGTAACATACGCCCATTGGCAGCTGTCAGGAATGATAAAACAATATTAAGTGACTATAGTATGATTTGTTTCATGTCAAAGAAATTTTAATAGTTTGAATTCAATGATATATATATTTACTGCCAGTTATTTATGATGAGAATTCTACAAAGTTTAAATATAGCTTATAGAGTGAAACGTCAAGTCAGACACAATATTTCAGTGAATTATTATCCGACCATCACGAAAATCGATAGGAATCATCTTCATAATGACATTGACACACAAAATCAAAATCAAAAGAATCTGTAAAGAATTGTAGCCTGTAGAGTGAGCAAGAACCAAATGTGAACGGACGGACCGACAGGGTGATTACAATATACGCCCATCTTATGTGTGGGCGTATAAAGAAAACACTAATATAGAACCTAAGATTCCTGATAGAAGATGGTGTTGTTTGAATTTTAATTGCACAAAAAAACAACAGGTAACAAGTTCTGTCATTTAGCATTTGGTTGATACGATGAAGAAAGAATGAAAGACGCAACCATATTTTACAAGAGTTCCAATTTAGGTTCACTAGGATCTTTTTTTTCAGCTAGTCCTTGGGCCAAACTTCTTTGCATTGATCTTTCCTAGTTACCCACTTACAGCTCAATAGCCATTTGCTCAAAGTAACCAAGAAAAAGACCTCAATCCAACACTCTAAATAATTGGTCTTAAAGTCAATGTTCACTAATGCATTTTCTTGAATCAGGTGGCAGACAGAGTTATTATTGTACACAGAATTTGATTGGCTTAATTTTGTAAAACTGGAAAATTATTGCACTTAAATAGCCTTACCTTGTGAAAACATCAAACTCGAACACAGAAATATGGTCATTACAAGTTAAATCTAACGTGGTTTTTAATGCCATGGCTTCTAATGGTGAACCTATAGGATGTGTATCATGTAATGTATCTCGGAACTCTTTCCATGGAACTGTTATTCTGGAAAAATACAATTGAATCTGATTATTAATACTGATAATATCAATCAAAAAATTTTTTTTTTTTTTTTTTTTTTTTTCTACTTGTAAGCTTTTATTTGAAAAAGAATAGAATATAAAAAGTTCATGAGTTTACAAAAGGGATAAATAGAATTCAACAGTGTTGTAAAATTTAACAACAAAATGATAGAATTATAGTGTTTAGATATCGTGTAAAAAAGTGAAAATATTCGAAACACAAGCAAAAGTTATTTCATATATAATTCCAGTTTAGGCGATTTTTAGGTAATGTGTATTACTTGCAATCCAATGATGATAATCTTAGACATAAAAATCTATTAAAAAATTTAAAACTGAGCTAAAAGAGAAAATTTTGTAATGTTTCAAATAGTATTATGGTTGTTAATTTTTCAAATGTTGAAGTTTTGATGAGGTACAGTGTTATTATATATGTAGCTATTACAAAACATAAAAGAAAAACACAGATCCATGAAGATAAGAGAAAAACAGTGGTTCCAATGGTGAAGCATTACGTCTAGCTTCTAACTGTGATGTAGGTTTAGATGTTCTTCTTACCATCTCAAAAGTACTCGGACCAAACTTAACACCACTCGGTTGGAACATGCCACCTCTTGGTGTAGACCAAACATAACTCGATCCAGCTGAGCTTTCGGTTGAATTATCAAATGGGTTCAAAGGAGAAACATTATGTAGTAGTGGAACAAGAAGAAACTCGTTCTCTTTCACTGGTCCCATCATACCATCATACTGATTTCTTTTACTAAGAAACACCAATTCCTTGTGTACAATATCGGAGCGTGTTCGAAACTTCGTCATTATCTAAAGTATCAGCCTTATTATCAAACACCATAAGTCTCTTATCACTTTTCTTATTTTCTTTAAAACGATTTGAGGCCTTTGACCACTTTCCACGCCCTTTCTTGACAAACCAGATGTAACAAATCAACATACAAATTACCACCACCAATAATACAGCAATAACTATCCAAAAAATCTAATATATACAATAAATGGATAACAGCAGAGATATTTAATGATCATCATAAAATTCATTACCTTTGAGACCACTAAGAATTATGTTTCCAAATCTTACAGAACAATTTATCTTAAAAAATTAAATCATCCATGTGTGTCTAGAATTATCCGTGTTCGAATGTTAACATGGTGAATCGCAATTTTCTTAAGATATACAGAAAAGACATATCTATTTATAGAAAGTGAAATTTTTTTTGAGGTATCTTTTAAAGAATTGATAGTGTATTGTATTGAAAACTACTCAGTAATCAGTTTGAAATTAATAGTGAGTTGTATTAAAAACTACTCAGGGTAATCAGTTGAAATTAATAGTGAGTTAGTTGTATTAAAAACTACTCAGGGTAATCAGTTGAAATTGATAGTGAGTTGTATTGAAAACTACTCAGTAATCAGTTTGAAATTAATAGTGAGTTAGTTGTATTAAAAACTACTCAGGGTAATCAGTTGAAATTGATAGTGAGTTGTATTGAAAACTACTCAGTAATCAGTTAAAATTAATAGTGAGTTGTATTGAAAACTATTCAGGGTAATCAGTTGAAATTGATAGTGAGTTGTATTGAAAACTACTCAGGGTAATCAGTTTGAAATTGATAGTGAGTTGTATTGAAAACTACTCAGTAATCAGTTTGAAATTAATAGTGAGTTAGTTGTATTAAAAACTACTCAGGGTAATCAGTTGAAATTGATAGTGAGTTGTATTGAAAACTACTCAGGGTAATCAGTTGAAATTGATAGTGAGTTGTATTGAAAACTACTCAGTAATCAGTTAAAATTGATAGTGAGTTGTATTGAAAACTACTCAGGGTAATCAGTTAGAAATTAATAGTGAGTTGTATTGAAAACTACTCAGGGTAATCAGTAGAAATTGATAGTGAGTTGTATTGAAAACTACTCAGGGTAATCAGTTTGAAATCGATAGTGAGTTGTATTGAAAACTACTCAGTAATCAGTTTGAAATTAATAGTGAGTTAGTTGTATTAAAAACTACTCAGGGTAATCAGTTGAAATTGATAGTGAGTTGTATTGAAAACTACTCAGTAATCAGTTAAAATTGATAGTAAGTTGTATTGAAAACTACTCAGGGTAATCAGTAGAAATTGATAGTGACTTGTATTGAAAACTACTCAGTAATCAGTTGAAATTGATAGTGAGTTGTATTGAAAACTACTCAGGGTAATCAGTTGAAATTGACAGTGAGTTATATTGAAAACTACTCAGTAATCAGTTTGAAATTGATAGTGAGTTGTATTGAAAACTACTCATGGTAATCAGTTAAAATTGATAGTGAGCTGTATTGAAAACTACTCAGTAATCAGTTAAAATTCATAGTGAGTTGTATTGAAAACTACTCAGGGTAATCAGTTTGAAATTGATAGTGAGTTGTATTGAAAACTACTCAGGTTAATCAGTAGGAGTTGATAGTGAGTTGTATTGAAAACTACTCAGGGTAATCAGTTGAAATTGATAGTGAGTTGTATTTAACACTACTCAGGTTAATCAGTAGGAGTTGATAGTGAGTTGTATTGAAAACTACTCAGTAATCAGTTGATTAAAGAATACAAATCAGTAATCAGTTGATCAAAAAATACAACTCAGTAATCTAAATCTACTAATTTATAGTGAGTTGTATTGAAAACTACTCAGTAATCAGTTAATCAAAGAATACTAATAAATATTGAGTAACCTAAATCTACCAATGATAAATTAATAGTGAGTGAGTATTGAAAACTACTCAGGGTAATAAGCCATTTTCCAAGGTATATCAGAGGAAACCATTGGCACCAATTAATTTCATATTAATTAAACATGACATATATATGGCCTGAATTCTATCACTGTAAATCAAGCTGTATATTTATCATAGAAAAATTTCAGGCAGATAGCAAAATGTTAATGGTGCTTCAACAAATTGCGTATCTATGAATTTAATGAGCAAAAATTTGCTGCTTACAGTGTTAAAATGAAATGGGAGTCTCACTTTGAACTTTTCCATTCCTTATTGGACTAATGAAGATGAAACACATAATGTTAGCAGATCATCCTTATCATGAAAATGTCATTAAAGAGGGGTTTGATTTTAGTCTTAAATAAATGAAAATGGTCACTGGAAGTACTAAAAACGTACAAACTCCTTCAAATATATCTTGAACTAGGAATTGATCTTTATAAATATATCCAAGTCTCAAGCAAAGACGAGCTGTCTTTTTAACTTTGAAAGGCTGATAATTCTGGACACACATGGATTTTAAGGCTCAAAATTCAACTATTACTGCAGTGATTAGCTAAAAAAAATTCTATTTCTGGGACTAAGATATGATTGGTCAAAAGGATGGCAACTGTCTCTCTAATTCATCATCTGTTGCTTAAAGATTTTATAACATTTGGAAAATCAAAATATGAATTGAATAGAGTTTTATGTCTTACATTTCTGCACCTAATTGGGCTAATATAGAAAGACGCCATGCAGTGTGCAATGAGAAAAACTTTGCTAGGGCAACAGCAAATACTGCTCTTTTTCGATATTCAACTGTTGAGGGATCTTTAACATGCACAGCCTGTAGCACACTGGGCCTTGGTTTATTGTCCCATTCGAATGACTTGACGCTTTTTCCATGTCGGCCCCTTCGAACTGCATCACCGACAAGGAGAAACTGGGTTGAAATATCTGCAGGCATTATCTTGACCTATGCTGGAATTGAACCCTGAACCTTCATGTTAACAAGAAAGCATCTAACTCACTGAGCCACTATGGCTCCCTCTGTTGCAAGCAAGGATATAAAAAAAACTGTCATGTAGAGAAGACTTAATGACTTGATAAAGGAGTGAAAAGGGCATTTCAAAAACTCCTGTCTTGTTAAACTCCTGTCTTGTTAAACTCTTGTCTTGTTAAGGAAGATGAAATTGTAGCCAAACATAGTTTTAATTGCAAGGCTATCTATATTTTTTTCTGTTACAGTGAATCCTGCTCATGAGACCACCTCTACTTAACAATCACCTTCAATATGCGACCACAATATAGTCCCCCCCTTCAACTTTTCAATATAACTAACGACTGTTATGAGACCACCTCCATTGCGCGACCAGCGACCATGTATTTACACTCCCATGAAAGCGAAATCAGTCAATTAGGTGACCATAACAGTTATCATTATCAGACATCATATGGTTTCACATGCAGGCGAGATTAAAAGGGATTATAGTTTATTGGCAATTTGCTAATCTCCAAAAGATTAATACAATTATCAATTAATTACATCAATCTAAATCTAAGAAGTAACTGTCAAAACAAAATAATTTTGGTGTTTATTCTGACCTATTTCTCTTCTAAGAGACCACCTCCATTAAGAGACCCTTTCTATTATTCTCTTGAGTGGTCCTTTAATGCAGTTTCTACTGTATATCTATTTAAGTAATACGTCACACATTGGAATGATGAAGTTTGTGTCATAATAAGGAGAAACTCTGATATGTCATTATCAAAGAAATTGGATCCTGGCATCTAAAGGCAGTCTTTGAGAGATAATTAAAATAGGAGACGTCATACAATTTTTTGTGAAAGTGGAATTGCAAGAACCACAGACGTCTGAATTAAAATCGGAACCATAGGTGTACAGGCCTAATGCCTGCTGGTTTTGCCCGATATTTTTTCCACACAATCTACCTGTATTTTTCGGGTTATTACCCGTAACAGATATTTGTGGGTGGGCAGCTGCACCCTCTGTCTCCACCCTCCTCATAAAGGTACAGGCCGATTGCCTGTTGGGGGGGGGGTTGGGTGCGGACTGCCTTGCCTGAAATTTTTCCCGCAAATTTTACCTGTATTTTTCTTTGTTTTCGGGTTGTTAACTGATAAACTGCAGGGTTAAAATTTTTCTTAAAAACAGACTGTTTTAGAAGGATTTATAAAGTTCATATAACAAAGTTTATTCCCCATACTGACTTTAAGGGAAAAACTTTACAATATAAAAAAAAAAACATATTTTTGAACACTGGAAGTACAATAGTACTAAAAACACTATCAACATTAATAAATAATGAATAATGAAGTTATCTATGAAACTAATCAAATATTATGTCTTTTATCAAAGTACTGCCACCACATACAAATAAAACCCTTAGGAACATTGTAATACTTCATAATTCACTGATATGAGAATTAAAGTGATGCTAGCCTCTATTTTTTTTATATAACTTTATTCTTGCTTTCGAACATTTTCAAATAGTGTAAGTTATGAGAAATCAAATATTATCTTTATGGAATATAATTACTATAGTTATTACAGGTGATGTTTGAACTAGGGTTCTCTAGTCTTCATCAGGCAATGATACAGACAACAAAAGAAATACAATAATCAATTAATTTAAATACTCAGAGAGGCATAATCGATTAATAATCAAATTACACCACATTTAATGTGTCTTAATGTTACCCATGTAAATTGTACACTATTGAAAGATTTATAAATTAATTTCATAGTTGTTTTGTTGATTATGATAGTTTTGATGCAGGTAATTACAATGTAAATCAACACATAAAATGTAAATTTATATTTAGCTTTTAATTGACAAAAAACAAACAAAAAACAACATGATTGGCCTTTTCAATCATTGATTATTAGCATCGTTTGACTTTTAACGACTGCTAATCAATTGTCAGTCGGAACAACATTAATGGAAGTTTGACTATGTGATAAATAAATCAAGTGGCTATGTGGAATCTTCGAAAAAAATACAAACTCTCTGTAGGGAAGTATATCAGGTTTAATCACTTTTTAAAATAAAAATAAACCCTTTAACTACCAAATAAACAGATTCTCCTAAGTGAATGCAAAGCTGACAAGCATAATTTATGACTGGTGTCGGGTGTTTTCAGAATAGTAAACATGCCCTTGGACTGACAAAATCAGACTAAATAGGCACTGTCATATCTATAGCCGCCAATAGACTATCAATCAATTAGTGTTTAAAAATTAAAGACTGGATTTTTCTAGATAAAACTTTCAGATACGTTAAGGGCACATTTCTCTAGATTTTGGTGCATAGTTTTCACAAATTTGAGCAAATCGACCTACAGAATAAAAAGCAGAATGTGCCTTTGAGTAGGTTGTAATATAAGTCAGTTTTAATTAACTAAGAGGATCTTATTACAATCTCAGATAATGGTACTAAATAGTGATACAGATGGCTCAACTCGAGATGTAACAGATGTTATAACAAATATAAATCCTTGAGCAACATTTAAGGGTAGAGATCACATTAAATTACGGAACACAATTTTATGATTTATTACTCCTGAGTATACCTTCTTGTTTTGTTTTTCATTTCACCTGATGATGACAATGTAAATTGTTGAAACGTTGTTTACAATAAAATTGTGTTCTGTTATCTTAAACAAATATTAACAGGATGCATCACTTTAATAAATTGATAAAATAAATCATTAAAAAAAAAAAAACAAGGAATGGTGATTGAATTAACAGATTCCATGTGGGATTCAAGAAACAGGCTTGTCTGTGAAAAACTTGTGATTAACTTTATCAAACTCATCATTTTGATGTTTAATGATCAAATAGAAGTTTTCATACACAGAAATGAGTCAATGTTCTAGTTTACTAGTATTTAGTATCAAAATAGTCACGAATATTATATACCAGTAGTAACTAAGTACGGTACATATATGTATATATCAATGACTTGTATATCTATTTCATATTTCCACATTACTAATGAGGAACGAAAAAATGAAATGAATGAAGTTTTATGTCTTACTTTTCTGCACTATAAAGCTATAAGTAGACAGTTCCAGATAGATTTTTTAAAATATGACCATAAATCAGACTGCAATATAACTATACTATGCCCAACGCATTGAGCTAAACACTTGCTTCCTAAATAAGAAATTTGTCCAACTGCGTAATGCGAAGGATGCAAATCTATTAAAAATAAAGGAAAAATCTAGTAAGTCGTGATAGACAAGTCTTAGAAATTGAAGTCAAGGTCTCTATAATGTTTATCATGTGAAACCACTCCTAGGAAAGATTTTAACAACCGTTCTTTCAACTCATCAACATTGGGATTGACACACCAGAAATCAACTGTTGAACCTGTTTTCAATTACTTTAAAGGGACTGATTCGCCATTTTTGGGGTTGATGTGTGTCTTGAATATGCTGAAAAATAGTCCTCTGAAGTACTAGAAATGTATGAAAATTCGAATTCCTTCAAAAATACCTCAACGTACCTCAATGAAGTGGGATGTTGTAATGACGTTAACCAAAACAGTACTATGATGTGGGATGTTGTAATGATATTAACCGAAAATATGATGTGGGATGTTGTAATAATATTAACTGAGACTATGATGTGGGATGTTGTAATGATATTAACTGAGAATATGATGTGGGATGTTGTAATAATATTAACTGAGACTATGATATGGGATGTTGTAATAATATTAACTGAGAATATGATATGGGATGTTGTAACAATATTAACCAAGACTATGATGTGGGATGTTGTAATAATATTAACCAAGACTATGATGTGGGATGTTGTAATGATATAACTAAGAATATGATGTGGGACTTTGTAATAATATTAACCAAGACTATGATGTGGGATGTTGTATAATATTAACCGAGAATATGATGTGGGATGTTGTATAATATTAACCAAGACTATGATGTGGGATGTTGTAATGATATAACTAAGACTATGATGTGGGATGTTGTAATGATATTAACCGAGAATATGATGTGGGATGTTGTAATGATATTAACTGACACTATGATGTGGGATGTTGTAATGATATAACTAAGACTATGATGTGGGATGTTGTAATAATATTAACCAAGACTATGATGTGGGATGTTGTATGATATTAACCAAGACCATGATGTGGGATGTTGTAATGATATAACTAAGACTATGATGTGGGATGTTGTAATGATATAACTAAGACTATGATGTGGGATGTTGTAATAATATTAACCAAGACCATGATGTGGGATGTTGTATGATATTAACCAAGACTATGATGTGGGATGTTGTAATGATATAACTAAGACTATGATGTGGGATGTTGTAATGATATTAACAGAGACTATGATGTGGGATGTTGTATGATATTAACCAAGACCATGATGTGGGATGTTGTAATGATATAACTAAGACTATGATGTGGGATGTTGTAATGATATTAACCATGAGACTATGATGTGGGATGTTGTAATGATATTAATCATGAGACTATGATGTGGGATGTTGTAATGATATTAACCAAGACTATGATATGGGATGTTGTAATAATATTAACCAATACTATGATGTGGGATGATGTAATAATATTAACTGAGACTATGATATGGGATGTTGTAATAATATTAACTGAGAATATGATATGGGATGTTGTAACAATATTAACTGAGACTATGATATGGGATGTTGTAATAATATTAACTGAGAATATGATATGGGATGTTGTAACAATATTAACCAAGACTATGATGTGGGATGTTGTAATAATATTAACCAAGACTATGATGTGGGATGTTGTAATGATATTAACTGAGAATATGATGTCAGATGTTGTAATAATATTAACCAAGACTATGATGTGGGATGTTGTATAATATTAACCAAGACTATGATGTGGGGTGTTGTAATGATATTAACTGAGAATATGATGTGGGATGTTGTAATTATATTAACTGAGACTATGATGTGGGATGTGGTAATAATATTAACCAAGACTATGATGTGGGATGCTGTAATAATATTAACTGATAAAACTATGATGTGGGATGTTGTAATTATATTAACTGAGACTATGATGTCAGATGTTGTAATAATATTAACTGAGACTATGATGTCGGGTGTTGTAATAATATTAACTGAGACTATGATGTGGGATGTGGTAATAATATTAACCAAGACTATGATGTGGGATGTTGTAATAATATTTACTAAGACTATGATGTGGGATGTTGTAACAATATTAACTGAGACTATGATGTGGGATGCTGTAATAATATTAACTGATAAAACTATGATGTGGGATGTTGTAATAATATTAACTGAGAATATGATGTGGGATGTTGTAACGATATTAACTGACATTATTTTTATATATTAATGTTCATACACTAAACAGCTGGTAAATATTGTATGTTACCGGTACTGTAAGTTTATTTAATTTACATGATAATCAGCAATACTTCAGAGTTTCAGAACCGACAAAATTGCATATTATGTTAATCAATTCAATTCTGTTGTTTTGAACAACATGGTTCATAAGTTGAGCTTGCTATTAAACACATATGAATAAATTTCAAATTTATGTGAATCAGCTCAAAGCTAGGGCTAATTTTTCAGTTTACTGGGCATGCAAAAAGTTACTTGATGTATGTTCAGGTGACCATTATTTAACTTAAACTTTAGCTAGTTACGGTAATTTATCATCTATTATTCAGTGTTCAAAGGGTTAAAACTGTTCAGTGTACCCTCATAATTTATACAGACTGTTGTTATAATTATTTAAAACCTGCTGATCTAGTTTTAATAATTTAAGTATATATATAAAATAAAAGTCATCATTAATTAGTCATTCAATTCAAATTAATCATATAGTTCATGACCATATTTATTTTACAAAAATTCATCAAAAGTTATCTCAAGTGGGTGATTTAAGTAAGACAAACGTTTTAAAAATTGAGCATCAGATAATTTGTGAAACTGGTCTTTGTACTTTTATTTTCATGTGGAACAATATTTTTTTTAGAGTGCTGGCACGATATAGCGGTGAATCGTTGTAGCATGATACAACATGGTACAATACATGTATCGTATCGCAAGGTCATATATCGATTTTTGATGATAACTCTCATTTCTTAAAAATTTCAATAAGTCGGCAACTGGAATCAATAACTTTACTGAAATAGTCGAAATTTTTAGTTAAGCTAATTAGTAATAGTGCTAACATCTTGAGACTCCGCCATACAGAGAAAGACATATCTATAGAAATAGAAATTTCTAATTTGAGATACATTTGCAGGATTTATACGATTTTTGTACATTTATAGAACTTTTGTGCGTTTTTAGAACTTTTGAAGACTATTTACATATATCCCAAATCAATCCCCAAAAATTGTGAATAAATATGTCCCTGTAAAGACATTCTTAGATTACAAGATTGTTAAAAGGCTCGAATTCACTTTAAAATTAGCAGTATTTGATTAATCAATGTATCCATGAAAAAAGACTGTACATAGGTCTAAATTGAGGGAAGTACACCAGCGTGGACAAGCCATGAATATACATTTTGGGAAGCCAAACCTTTAATAAATGGAATGCTTAATTTGTAAATGTTATTCAAGTAAGAAGCTTTATACATCTTGGTACAAAGTCAGGAAGAGATAATGATTAATAAGTAGCCTAACTGCACAAACAACACTCTCTTACTAGAGGTTAAGCCTACATTCCTGCACCTGTGCTTTTGTAACATTACTTAACAGCAATGTTACAACCTAAAATAAAATTCCTAACAGGAATACCGTAGTTTATCTATTTAAAAATCATAGTAGCCCTAACGGGACAAAACCTTAGCCCTAAGAGGAGTTAGCCTAAACAAGCCTAACTCCTTTCAATACTGGATGATATATCAAATAGTTAACACTGTTATTATATCTCGACTTTCAACTCAAGTTCAGTTGACAAATAGGAAGGATATACCAACCACTTATAACTTTATTTTCAACAGGGAAAAATAATATTCAAATGCTTTAACATAGAAGTTAAAAATAGCAAACATTTTACCATTGTAAACATTCAACAAGGAAGATTAAAACTCTATCAATATTGAACTAATTCTATGATAGTGTTCATATAAAAAGATAAAAACTCTCTCTGATAAAAATATTTTTACTGAGATGAAATGCATTTTCCATTATATTCTCAAATACATATGAAATGGAGTTTTTACATCCTGCTACACTGCACTTAGCCACAGCCGTTAACAGTCCAGTCATTTTCACAATGATAAGCTGACAAGCTAATATTACAAACTTTGTCTTATACCTTGACTGCAATAGCCACTATTCTTATATCAGGTAATGCAGGAATTTGATTGGATTGTACGCTAGCAAATACAGCCATTCAGAGCTCTTGACAGAAAACTTTAAATCAATTCTGGATTTTTGTTTACAAACTACTGATGATGGCTTTATTGGCAGTATTTGCAAGTATACAATCCAATCTGAATTTACAAACTTCAGTAATAAGAGAAAAGTGGCTATTACAGTCAAGGTATAAAAAAGTTCATAATAAACTTGACATTGTGAAGATGTACAGGACTGTGTGGATTTTATATTATGGTACCAAAGATGATATTCAAAATTCTTAAACTGTGCCTTTTATACAGTCAATCCTTCTGTTTTCTTAATCCTTTAATCTGTCATATTAGGTGTAAAGCATTAATTAGGGTTAATCTCTATTATTATGATTATGACAACCTTAATTCTGAATCAGTGTCAAATCAAATTCAATATGCCATTTTTCAATTTATTACAGACAAATCCTTATAGAACCTGATTTGATTACATTTTATGAAATTTTTTCTATCAGAATCATCATTAAAATTTTCATTTTGGACTTCGAGCCAAAAAAACCTTCCAAAGTATCGGTATTCAAATTTATAAGGCAACAAACTTTTGATTGCTATAAATTTAAAATGCCTTTAGGTTTAAAATCTGAGAGTTTACTAATCAAATTAAATGACTGGCCATAACATGTCACGACATCATTCAGTTGTCACATCTGACTGATCTCTGTCACTTTTCATTAATAACGTCATCAATACTTACTTATCTCCAAATGATCTTTTCCACCAATCTGAAGCATCCCCTTTGGTTATGCGATAGTTTTCACCAGAATACGTTCCTGTAGGATAGATAGCCTTCAATTCTGCTAGCATGTGTGAGAAAACAAGTGACAATTTGATCAAATTTCTGCGACAGTTAGAATTTTCATCAAACATTTTCTGGTTTCCATCCCGAAATAGCTTGATAGTGTTTTTACATTTTCCCATCAAATTCTCAATAAATATTCTGAAATATTCATTTTCATTCAAATGGTTCAGTTTATCATCATGTTTGGAATAAATAAGTCTGAGATGTTGATAGGTGTCAGGCAAGATATCCAAAATAAATGGTGGGCTATTCCGCAAGTTCATTCTTGGATGTTGACACAATTTCACCACTTTGTCCATCATTTTCCATGATTTTTCAATAGTCCGTTTGTCGACCACAATGGGTCGAGGTGGAGCGAGGAATTCTTGAACACGGGTAAACATATTGCCGAGGTTTTTACTTTGATTAGTTTTTCCTCGACTACTCTGACTACTCTGAGCCATTCTTCCTTCCTTTGGCCTTATTTTACCACGGTTGAACATGTACGTCGATTGGTTGAGTACGAGGTAAATGCGGGGGTGTAATTTGACACCATAGAAAACACAGTATTTTGATGTAGTTTTATGATTCAATAGTAGGCTGTGAGATAATATATACTTTCACGATGGACTGGATACTTTAAAATCAATAACGTCTTCAAAATAAAACTCTGCTGACAAATAGATTTTACGACATCATTACTAATTTTGACCATATGAGACCTACTTTTGGCACAACACGTCAAACGTCAACAAAAATGGCTGCCTCAGATTCTGCAGACGACGCAGGATGGTAAAGAAGTTCTATTTCATAGATTTTCAGTTAATACAAAATTCTAAAGTATTGCAGAAATATAGCACACGTTTGTTGTCTCTCGACTGTAAGAGATGTGTTTAAGGGTCAATTGGTTTTGATGGAAAATGACCTGTCAAATCTGTCATTCACGATTGTTTTTCTAATTTTCACTAGCCTACACATAATTAGACTGATGTTAATCATTAGGCCTCTTTTTATCTAACAACACTTATACCTAATGACAATGATACAATACAATTATGTAAAGGCGGGCAAAGCTTTAAAAAAATGCAATGATATACTTAAGATATGGCTCTTACAGTTACATAATTATACTAAGTAATGACAGTACAGTCTTGAGTCTTCCCTACATTTTGATTTCAATATGGTTCACTCACATATTTATTGACATTGGATTGGTTGGGAACTCACTTACTAGTCCATAATTAATTGGGGGTTTTCATTCCTTAAAAGGTTATGTTTCCTTAGATTTAAGGCACTTTATTTGCTCTTAATCCACTTAAGATCTGTTCATTTTAGGTCTTTAAATGATTACATGATCCTAGTTGAAAAGCATCTTGCTAAAAATAAAATTTGAAAATCAAACGATTTTCAAAGAACACCATGACCTTTTGGGATGCCTACTGTTTCTGACTTAAGCTAAATTTTTATTATAGGATCACTGAATTAGAAACAGCCTTAATTGAAGATTGTGATTTTGGTATTTTAAGGAATATATGTAAAGGAAGGCCAGTTCCAGAACACCTACGGGCTGAAATCTGGCAGGTTTGAATCATGTTATGCCTATACATAGCTTCAATAGCATCACATCATCATGTGTATTTCTAAGATTATGGATAGTAAAAAAGGTCACAGCAATAGAATGAAAGAATAAGACTAAATAAACATAGCATAGTGTGAAACTCTGAGGAACAACATGTTTCAAGTTAAGCTTTTCGTGAAAGACAATTTTCAGATTAAAAGACAAGGATGCCAAAGCCTACTTTGATTGAAAAGCTGTCAGAGCAATTTCTGAAGAGTTTTTGTCTTAGACATGCTTAGACAACCTTACAATTTGCATGTTATCACAATTAGTTGAAAGGAGATAAGATACATGTTATCACTACTTTTATCTCATTAAACAATTAACTACATAATTATGAATAATATGGACGAGGATATGTTTATATAAGATTACAAGCATACATTGAAGCATTTGAAGCCCTAAGAAGAGAACTTATATACAAGATTCAAAGCATGGCTAAACTTTAGACACATACATTAAGCTTACAGTCAAACTTGTCAATTGATCAGGGTAATGCTTGAATGTCTGATGGTGATTGCTTACTGAAGGGCCAGGCTATATGGTGATATTTTAAGGCATTCCTGATAGTCATACAAATTCCCCATAGCTCATTGTAGTAAGATCAGATAATTTTAGTATGATCAGATCATTTTAGTATGATCAGATCATTTTAGTATGATCAGATAGTTGTAGTATGATCAGATCATTTTAGTATGAACAGATCATTTGAATATGATAATTATAGACTCAGATATTACTTTCCCTAGATATGTTTAAATGTGGAAGGCAAAGCTGATTCAATTTCATCCTTTGATGGATTTTTTGACATGGCAGAACAAAGTTTATTGAGATCAGATTGTACAGCCTTAGTAGGTAAGTATGCTTACACATGTTTATTTTAAGTATGCCCTTAACTTCAGTAATCTGGTTTAATATCATATTCAGAAATGTTACTGAGTTACCCAGAGTTTCACGCTATGTGATCTTCAGACAACTGACCTATTAAGCTAAAATAGGTCAGTTGTCTGAAGATCACATAGCGTGAAACTCTGAGTAACATTATGATTCAAGTTCTGTTTTAATATTTCTATATCCCTCTACAGTGATAGTGAAAATATTCTATTATTGTATTATATTCTACAAATTCAACGATTTTATTCAAATTCAATTTTGCCTAAAATGAGGAATTTGGTGGGTGCCACTTGCAAGGTATGACATGGTTATTCTTACAGAACACCTGACAGCATTCTATTGGATTTGTTTGTTCATTTCAGAGGGCCCACTTACCTAATGACTAACTCTTTGACTGCCAGACAGGTTGTTCAATTAGAGTTAACTAAAAGATAACATTAAGGGATCTGGAACTTTCATAGTCAGTAGCACTTGGACCCCTGCTTTTTGTCACTACTGACCCATGTTTCAGACACACAATTCTCATCAGGACAGTTAGCTCAAGAAATGAGGAGTAAGTTATCAAAAATGCACTTTGTGTATTATAAAAGTAAACCAATGGCTTTGATCTATATATTTTTTTGTAGATAAATTGGGTAATGATGAAGAAGATAAAGTATCAGTTGTTAGTGATTTAGAATCTATCATCACGTTTTATTGTAAATCACGTAATGTTAAATACTCTACCAATAATGGATGGTTAGATATCTTACAACCTCTACTCTCTCTTAAATTATCTAAAGCCGAACTCTACAACTGTTTTTATGCAATAGTTGCTAAATATATTCCTCAGTAAGTATAAGCTTAACTGGTTTTCATCAAATATATTTTAGATGAAAGGGACAGAGACACCATCCATTTGATCAATTCCACTTTACTCTCAGAAACTGATTTTTTTAGCTAAGCTTATCAGTAAGAGTGTTCACAGCTCTCCAGCAAAATTTGAGCCTTTAAATCCATGTGTGTCCAGAATTATCCACTTTTGAATGTTGAAATGATGACTCATCTTTACTTGTGACTTATAGCAGTTTTGATGTTAGACAAATCAGTGAAAATTGTTCTAATTCCATCTTCATTCACTATTCAATATCTGACGAAAACTGTAGATATTGGAGTTTTTGGGAAGAAAATAAGAATAAAATAGAAAAAATATTTAATTGCACAGGCTAACTTGTTTTTTTTTTTGCAAAATGTGTTGATTTGAATTTTACCCTTTTTTTAACAGAGATTGTGTGAAGAATGGTAAACCATTTCATTTATTCCGTTTGTTGTTACAATATCATGATCCTGAAATAGCTTCATATTTAGATACAAAACGTATCACACCTGATTCTTATATTAAAAACTGGGTAAGTTATAGTTTATATTAGATACTACCCTTATATGATTAAAACTGGGTAAGTAAAAGTTTATATTAGATACTACCCTTATTTATTAAAAACTGGGTAAGTAAAAGTTTATATTAGATACTACCCTTATTTATTAAAAACTGGGTAAGTAAAAGTTTATATTAGATACTACTCTAATATATTGAAAACTAGGTAAGTTTTATAGTTTATATTAGATACTACCCTAATATATTGAAAACTGGGTAAGTATTATTTGATATTTGGATAAAATAAAACATATCACACACGATTCTTATATTAAAAACTGGGTAAGTTATATTTAATATTAAGGATACAAAACGTTTCAATCCTGATTCTTGTATTGAAAACTGGGTAAGTTATATTTAATATTAAGGATACAAACCGTTTCAATCCTGATTCTTGTATTAAAAACTGGGTAAGTTATATTTAATATTAAGGATACAAACCGTTTCAATCCTGATTCTTGTATTGAAAACTGGGTAAGGTATATATAATATTTAGATCACGTATCACGCCTAATACTTATACTAGAAAATGGGTTAGGTATATTTTGCATCTGATTCTTTTAACAAGACCGGGTAATAACCGGCGCGCATGATACAAAACATATGCCTAGTTCTAATCATCATCTAATGCAGAAGTTTTCAATCTGTGTCCTCAAATTGTATCAGCTGATTTTGTGTAGTAATTTATGATGACTGTCATTTGTGTTTCAGTTCACAAGTTTATTTGCTTCAGCCTGTGATTTGAAAGTGATAACTAAGATGTGGGATGTTTATTTTCAACATTCCGATCCTTTCCTGATATTTTTCATGTCTTTGGTAATATTAGTTAATGCCAGAGATATTATACTACTATCAGATGAAAGCAAGCCAAATTTAATAGGTAAAGTGAAAGCAACAAGAATAATGTCCTTTTTTATCTATCCTCTTTCATTGTTTATTCAATCTGTTATATTTGATAGAAAATCCTTAGGGCTTTCTCAGAATCATAATGGAATTCAGTCCAAAAATGGCTCTTCACTTCCACTAAAACGAAGCATTTTAAGACATCCCTATCGCAGCAGCTGTAGCAATAGTGACTTTATTAATTTTAGTGGATAAAACTGATAAAGTTATACACAAAGAGCAAGTGTCACTGATTGGTTGATATTAATGCAGCGATACTATTGACCAATCAGATTTCTTGAAGGTAATTAGATGCAAGGATTGAAAGTTAAGGACCGCAATTTCACATATGATTTTGTTTTATAGAAACCATGTCAATGTTTCCTAGTGGGTTAGAAGCAGATGATATTGAAGATTTCTGTGCTCTGGCTCAATATTATTATAATAAAACACCACAATCTTTTAAATGGGTAAGACATCTTTAAATTTAAAACAAAAACTTCCCAGAAAATTACCAGAATTTGTTTCTCCAAAAAAATAAATCAAGTAGTAACAATCCGAACCGCGAAACGAAACCTGACATCAGTAACAAAATTTTGACGAAATATTGGTAGCAGCTAATGAACTTTTCACATGATGAAGTATATCCATCATAAGTGAGTAAGTATTTCATTATGAAAGGTGGTATCAGGTGTCTAAAAGAGTGAGCATACCCTGCGTGGTGCCACACAATACTTTACAATGTTTTTTAAATGTTTTTTAATTGTTTTTATTTAACTGTATGGGAACTAAGTGTCAGTTTCTAAATTTGAAAAGTGATAGAGATAGTTGAAATAAATCTCTATTCAATGGAAAAACAGCCATGTCTCTTCAGCTTAAAATGAAATTTATTTCTGCTAACACACCTGAATGTGAATCAGAGTTGACAACCACGGTGATAGAGTGATATCAGGTGTTTATATTATAATGTATATTGTAGGATTATCAGAGTATATTATTTGGTAATAAGTTAATACAAGGTAAATCTAGTTTAGTAGACCAGGCATCACAAGCCCTATGTTTACCTGTTAGTATCAGTGAATTGTTAGAAGCTAACCAACAAGCTGTGGTAAGTCTGGACATTCTCTTCCCATTTTTAACTCCATTCCAATTAAAATAAGACCAAACTTTTGTTTCGTTTTTTTATTATTTTTAATTAGCCCCTTCAGTTAGGGTCTAACGACAGCCATCTTGAATGTTTGTCAAATTAACCTTTGGACCTAACCTGATAAAAACCACGTCACTATTGCTAGCGCTGAAGACAGTTGATTTTTTTATCGGTCTAAACTGAAGTCAAAATTGTATGGAACAATATGGATGGAGTTACTATAAGAATCTCCTCTAACCAAATTTTCCTCATTACACACTGCATGGTTTTGTCTGCTAAGAGCAGAGCAGTAGGATATTTAATTTCACCCTTCTTTGTCATCATTCAATTTGTTCAATCAACCACAGCAGTTAACATGAGGTGTTGTATAGAAATTTAAAAAAGCAACCTCCATTAGCGGTGAATTTTTTCTCTATACCTTTATAATAAACAAAAAACATAATCAAGTAAATCACATCATGTAAATCTTCCAACACTCTAACAGATTGTGTTACAGCCCTCCATCAAATGGAATCAGGCATTTTAGTGTGTAGATTATTTAGCCTTTGTGATTGAAGTAGAAAGGAGTATAGCTAGATATAACATTGTATTTTATTATGGTTTCAGACAGAAGAAAGTGTACGATATTTTGTGGTAGATTGTAGACCAGCAGAACAATATAATAATGGTCATCTTTCAACTGCTTTTCACCTTGATGCCAATTTGGTAAGTTCTATAAGCAAGACATTCCAGAAATTATTGTTCAGAAAAAAATGAAATCAATGGAGTTTTACGTCCTACTTCTCTGCACTGTGTGGGCTAATGAAGACAGGGAATGCCATGCAGGGTGCAATGAGGGACTAGACGCTTTTTCCATATCAGCCCCTCTTACCTGCATCACTGACGAGGGGGAAACCGGATAGATATATCCAAAGGTATTATCTCAACTTATGCCAAGATTGAACCCTGGACCTTCAGGTTAGCAAGCAAGCGTCTAACTCACTGAGCCACGGCAGCTCCCAATCATGGTTCAGAAAAAACATTGGAAATGCAACGTACTACTTCAAAACATAACTTGAAAAATATTAAAATTTGGTGGAAATATGATAAAGGTACATGGTTACCAATCACTTTAATTTTTCTGACCCAGAACATTGTAAAACCAACAAGTTTTCATTTTATTGTCAGTGTACCTTGGCTTGACAACAATTATGACCAAATGTATAAAGAATGGTTTCATATAATTATGATAAGATGACTTTTTATGGTCATATTTCGTTGGCACTGATGGCAAACTTGTTCTAGGTGAATTTCTTGGTTGCCTGGACCTCTTGAAATAGGTTTTAAGTGTATAACTTGACAAAAAAACAAATTTCCCATTATCAGAATTGTACCATTTGAACCCAACATTTATTGAAAAATATTTTTGTAATTTTCAGATGCTACAGAATCCAGTAGAATTTAATACAGCAGTACATGCATTGTTTGCTGCACAACAAATGGCAATAGCTGCAGGTAAAACTAATACGGCGTTAAATATTCTCTGACAGTTTTCCATCTGATAACAATTAATCTATATTTCACACTAAAGCAAGTAGTAACGTCATTTTTGTAGTTTTTAGTGGAATTACAGAAACCACAGACGTCTGATTGAAAATTGGAATGGTCCAAATTGATGCTATCAGTGTCTCCTGATACACATTAAAAGTTTCGAAAACCTCTCTAACATCCCTTTAAATGTTAAAATAAATTGGTTATCACAGTATGTAAGTTTTGAAGCCAGTACAGTTAATTGTTGAGAATTTGATAGTCATCTAGATAAAAGGGTCAAACCCCGCCAACCCCACCAACCCGGTAACAATTTCTACCAGGGTCAAACCCCACCAACCCGGTAACAATTTCTACCGGGGTCAAACCCCTCCAACCCGGTAACAATTTCTACCAGGGTCTAACCTTACCAACCCGGTAACAATTTCTACCCGGATCTAACCCCACCAACCCCGGTAACAATTTCTAACAGGGTCGAACAGTATATAAGTCAGCCCCTGCTGAGTGAGTTTTTATCAGTCTGAAGAGTTCAATCTGAATGAAACCAGTCACTGTAAAAATCAGGGATAACTGGTCAAAAAAAGCCAACCTTATCTCTTCTAGATAAAATGTTGATTAATATTTTATGTTTGTATGAATAGGTTCAGTAGCTGGAGGAGAACATCTATGTTTTATGGGAAGTGGTAGGGAAGAAGAAGATCAGTATGTATTTATGGTTATAGCTCATTTCTTACAGAAAGGTCATCAATACATCTGTTCTTGTCAAGGAGGATTTGCAGGTAAGAATCAGTGACATTTTAAGGTCTTTTGCATCAATTGATTAACTTTAATGATGATCTTAGCGTCATTTCCTACCAGATGATACACCACTGAAATGATTGCATTTTGGATTGACACTGTGACTGATATGAATATGATCCAAATAAGCGCAGATATAAACCTGGCCTGGTATTCTCGAAACGATCTTAGCGCAAGGATGTCCTAGAATCAATGTTAGAAGATAAGAACCTAGGACATCCTAGCGTTAGGATCGATTCGAGAATACATGGCCAGGACACATTCCTTCAATCTCATGATATGTTATTCATGCAATATAAGGCCCTTCAACTGGGAAGTGTTAAAGATCTTGAGCTAATGATTGCAATTCTCACAAAGAGTAATATTCTGATTAGTTACTTCATAAAGTAAAAGATGATATGATATGCAAAACCAAAATGGTTTCATTTTGATGACAGTATGTTACAATATAAACCATGGTAATCATTGGTTCTACATATATATGTATGGGGCAGTTAATGGTGTCTTCGATATGCTAACTCAAACTCACTCGTTAAGTTCTCTTGAATAGGTGGTGCACATTATTCATGTTAAATGGATTTTTCAAATTTCTTCAAGAAAAGGTGCGCATTATATTCGCAATTATACAGTTAAAGTTTGGCCAATTCTTTTTCAGCATTACATGAAAAGTTAAAAGACAACCTATCAAATGAGATAGCTGACCATAATGCTAAAAGATGTATTGTATGTAATCCTGATTCTACTAGCAGTACATCAGAGTTAGATAACACTGATGATTTTAAAGATGTAGGTATCCTCTAGCCCTTGCTTCACAATGTCAGGCTATTATGAAATTTGTACTTATACCTTGATTGCATTAGCCACTATTTTTATATCAAAGAATGCAGTGATTTGGTTGGATTGTACACCAGCAAATACAACCAATCAGAGCTCTCAACTGAAAGGCTTTAAACATTATGTTTTGTGTTCATAGATTTTCTGTCCAGGCCTCCGATAGTGTATTTGAGATTTTGTTGCAAAACAACAAAATTTGTATCTAATTTTTCTGGCCCTATATTTTGCAGTCTGGTAAAGATTCATCATTATTTGGTAAATTATCTAATGTTATGAAGAGTAAGTCTGCTGAATATAAAGAAAAATTAACGAATTATATTAAAAATGACCAAATAAGTGGGGAAAGGTATGTACTGAATATTCCAACATGTAAATTCATTGGAATAATGACAAATTGAATGGCATGATAATTTTTTGCCCATGTTTTAACACTAAATGCAGTAAGTTCACCATTCATTGTTTTATCATATTTTTAGCAATGAAAATTTTTTTATAGTTTAATTAATCTACGCTGTACTGACAAGATTAGATATAGCTTTTCACTATTTTATGTGACAAAGCAGTCTAATTAGAGTGATTGAAAAGTAACAATTTACTATTCAATATAAGGCACTGGCACAGGGTTAAAGTTATGTTTACAATAATTGTGATGCTAATATTAGAATTTTCGGTTTTTATTTTAGACATGTTAGTAATACAGATAAAGTTGGTAAAAGATACAGAAATATGGCCTCGGTTTTTACTATAGGTGATGATGAAGAAGGTAAATCATTATTATATATTTTTATCACAGCATTGTTCTCTTGTTAGTTATGTCTGTGTTTTTAGGGAAGGGAATTGAGTTAATCCGGGTAATGATCTGAGACTACAGTCTGTTCATGATGAACATCTTCTGATATAGTTCAAAATCAACACAGGACCAAATGAACCTCTTTGAAGCAAGTAAATTTCTTGCTATCAATTACATCAATCAAATGAACCATTTGTAATCAAATTGAATCGTGTAATCAAATGAACTATTTGTAATCAAATGAACCATTTGTAATCAAATGAACCGTTTGTAATAAATGAACCATTTGTTTTCAAATGAACCATTTTTAATCATTTGTAATAAATGAACCGTTTGTAATCAAATGAACCGTTTGTAATCAAATGGTGGCATTATCACTGTGTAATCAAACAAACCCTCTGTAACCTATCAAAATAGAATGAACTCTCTGTTATTATTCTGTTATATCGGCAGCCAGATTATGTAATTATTGCAGGTGAAGAAGGTAGTTATGGAGGATCATCTGACGATGAACCTAGAGAAGTGGTTAGTTTAGAAACCTGGTTACATAAACCAGATCTAATCTACCATTGTAAATGTAAGGAAATCAAAGCCAATGGTTACATGTATCCAAGGTAGGCAGATTAAAACAAATAGTTTTTTTTTGTTGATAAAGCCAGCACTAACACAAAGAATTATATGATGTCACTATTGCAACAGCTGTGTATAATATCTAGGGGCCTTTGTGGTAGTGATTTCACAAAATGCTTAGTTTAGTGGATTTTGAAGAGCCACAAACGTCTTGACTGAAAATAGTGCAAATTAACATACCAGTGTCCCAGACACAGATAAGACCTGTAGAAGACCTCTTTATAAGTATGAAATAGTTTAAATATTTGTTTTACTAAAGCTCAATATTTTGCTTCTGCTAGTACTTTTTGGATTTATAATCTGACATCCGGGCTGTCTGCAATTGCGTTGCTTAATATGGTGTAATTAATAGTAAGGATATATAGGGGGAAGGGTGGTAATGCAATTGATCAAGGATCTCTAAGTGGTGATAGAAAGAAAAAGTTTGAAAACCACTAAGTGATGTAGACCAATGATCTTTAGAAACTGTCATGGCTTATCATTTCTTAATAGCCAGTGAACTTCATACTAAATTTTTATAAATTTTCTCTTTCAGTTACATGTTAATTGTTAATTCCCACCTGTATCTTTTACGTGAAATTCCTAAAGAGAAGAATATGGTGTATATTCAATCACGACGAGCTCTAGGCAGCATTGTCAAAATCACATCTAAAAAGAGACACCCAGAATTAATTACCTTTAAATATGGTACCAGTGAGGACGATGGATTGAAAATTACCGACATGGACAGATTCCTCATTCCTACTGCTGGTGATGCCATGAGGATCGTCAAATCCCAAATTATGAAAGTGCTTGATGCTTTAGACAGTTAACCATATTCCTCAGCCTGTGTTGTTGAGAATTGTGATTTTTTATGATCAAATAAGACACTGGAATAGTGAATTTGTGGGACCATTTTTAAATGCCAAATTGAAGTGGGTTGTTTATCTTGTAATGTGTAGCGCTGCAACTGTAGTACTTGATAATCAAGACTAATGATGATCATTTTCAATCAATGTTATCCAGTTAATGAATTTAAAATCCATGGTCTGTTAAACTCTGTGATTGATTGTAATTCTTTTAGAAAGTGAACAGCGTATAACATTATTTTGGTATTTCGAAAACAAAACGTGGACCAAAGGTGAAGACTAATTTTTTCTATGGTGGCGCTCGATTGGAGAGTTCTGACCAGGTTCTGTCTGTTCTAATCCTGCCCCGCAATCAAACGGTATGAAAGCGGAAATGTCATATTTCAAATTTTTCCATCTATTTCCAGCTCCACCATTTTGAATTCTGTCTGGCATATGTGAAATGCCTTCTGAACTCTGTTCCAACTTGTTTTATTGATTGTTCTGTTGATCTCATAATCACAAACGTGCAGAACTCACCAATCGAGCGGGCCCAATGTGTAACTTCATGGATATGCAATAAGTTCAGAGTCAATCATGACTTTGAGAAACCTATCTGGACGAAATTTTTGACCCAAATGAAATAAATATAGTAACTGACAGAGCCAAGAACTGCAGGGGTTGTGCTTAAGGATTTTAGTTATTGTTGTACATATCTGGGACAAATATTAGTCTTATGCACCTATGTGGGACTTACATAGCACTTCCAGTTTTTGTGATAAGCATTTTTTCTCACTCTTACATGCAAAGTGGGAGTTCTTTAAAGCTTTCTTCCTTGGTACATATCTTTTTATTGGAGTTTTTTTTTACCATTCTTAAAGGAATTCTCAGTTAAACCAATCGGAAATACTGTTCAGAGCTCACCGTCGAAATTTGAGCCTTCAAATCCATGTGTGTACAGAAATATCTGCATTTGAACGACTGGTCAATTTAAGATACTCTGTGTTATATAGAAAAGACTTATTCTATATACATAGAGATAGTGAGTAAAATTCCTAGTTTGAAGTATTTTAAAGGAATTATGCAATTTTATTCATTTCTTTTACGTCTGAAGACTATTTACATATATTCAAGACTAAAATCAACCCCCTTAATACCGCACTTGTCACTTTAAGGCTATTCTACATTATTGCAGCCTTATTGTCTTTTCAAATTTCTATTACAGCTTTTTCTTTTTAGGTCTAACTGAAATTATCTTATTATGATATTATTTTTCCCACCAAAATGTGTTTCAATTAGAATCAGTAGTTAATGTTTATTTGTTTAATACACCTTATTCATGCGGTCGCCATTTTGAATCCAGAATGAGGCTCATAACACAAACATAAAAGGTGGCATTATTTCATTGTGCAGTGAAATATTTAAAGCCTCCTTCTCCAAACCCAAAAGCGCAAAACTTTGAATTGATCAGTTGATCAGGTGTTTAGTGACGTCACATAGGTGATTCTTTTACTATGACCTCGCTATCTTTCTTGTAAATAGATGACAGAGTTATGAGCCTGGCATTCAATGTTGCCAAAATGAGGTGTATTGTTATTGTAGTAGATATGTGTTTTAGGTAGTTAACATATAATAATGAAAGCTTTATCAGTCTGCCTTGTAGAGTTTGGATTACCCTTTTTTGCAGCAGAATACTCAGTCATACTTTGGGACTTGGACAACTTATTCATATATACTTCAAATTTAAAATTAACTTGTTCACTTTTGGGAACTTTATGCACACGGTTCAAGTTAAGTGATATCGCATCGCAGTTTTCGATTCCAAATGACACCTTTTGCCAACCAATGTTTCCTATGATTAGCCAAATTATCAAATCAAATTATAGATTTTTAATAAAAATTGTCTGCCAAATCAATAAATACTAGGAAACTCTCTGTGACCTCTATAACCTTAAGGAATTGCTGCCATGGGCCAGATCATTCTTAAGTCTACAACTGGAACATGTTGAATTCCCACTGAATTTTTATGAATCGAAATTTAAACCTTGTTAACATTATCATTTTGACCAACTACAATTGCATGTATATTTTCTGAGGCCTTATTCTCAAAAACTTAGTTATTTGATTGGTCAGTCACTAAAATCAAATGTAAATTTAGTTTAATTATCCAATCAGATTACTGTATTACTGGATTTTATCTTAGTTAAGTTATCAAGAATAAAGCCCTTAGACTTTCACTATTGCTTTAATGACAGTTGCAATATTAGTCCTACAAGAAAATGCCATTTCAAATATTTTCATTAGTTTAGCTTGCCAGCACAATATTTTAATTTTGTATATTATTGATGTATATTTATGTAATAATTGTATTATAAATTGTAAATTATAAACTGTATTTATCAGACTTAAATTAAATTATATAAGTTATAATTGTATTTTCTTTTATACTACTGTAATTTTTATAGCAGATTATGAATATCAATTTTGATAAGTGTTATGGATAGCCAAGTATTGATGCTTGTATTCCTTCAAGTCTGTTCCTTTGTAAAAGTTGGACATCCAGTCAGTGAAAATGGCCAAACTGAGAAAGACCATTGCTATGTGATTAGGTGTTAAATGGAGAGAGGTGCCATCTTGGGGGGTTGAGTGTTGAATATATGTAAATAGTCTTTAGAAGTACTAGAAATGTACAGAAATCGCAAAATATCTCAAACTAGGAATTTCTTTAACTATTTATATATGTCTTTTCTCTATATGGAAGTGTTTCATGAAAAGACGACTCGTCATTTTAACTTTCAAACACAGATAATTCTAGACAGACATTGATTAGAAGGTTTAGATTTCGACGCTGCGCTGTGAACACTATTACCGATTGGCTTAGCTAAAAAATATTCCATTTATGAGACTAAGGTATGATTGGTAGCAAAAATGAAGCCTCTGTCCCTTTAAGACAAGAAAAAATGAACATAAAAATAATTTATAACCTTTTTTTCTTTAAAAACAAAAACAATGGCCTCACATGAACAAATCACAAATGAAGACTTGATTTATGATAATTTTTCATAAAACAATAAAGCAAGCTGATAACGAATAGTAAAAGCAATAATACTGCAAAATATCTGAAAATATAGAAAAAAAAGTGTGAAATGATGAATAGATAAAGGCTGGTTATACACCGCTAAGCCAAAGAGCGAAGTGAAGATAAAGAAGATAAGAACGAAGAAAATCCTGCGTTTTGCTTAGCCGAGTATAAACCAGCCTTTAAACAGATGAACAAACAGTTAATGGTTTACTATTGATTTTATAAGATCAATTTTCGATCAGTCAACTCAGCTGTAGATCTGTCCAGTGTTCAAACATTAATACTTGTAGGTTAGAAAATGTTGATACCAAAAGGATTGGCAAAGGACAAGTGGTGGAATGGCTTTGAGAGCCTCTGCAGTTGTTATCCATGTCAAATATTCTCCCCTTGCAGAATGCCATGGTGGTGCTCGATTGGAAAGTTCTGAACAGGTTCCATCTGTTCCCATTCTCCCGCCAATCGAACGGTATGAAAGCTGATATGTTAAATTAAATTAATTTTTCATCTTTTCCTTTCTCCACCATTTTGAATTTTGTCTATTTTTTCGTCACACGTTGAACGTGCTCTGAACTCCAACTTGTTTTATAACGTTCTCCTGAACGTGCAGAACAAACCAATCAAACACCCCCCTTAAATAGAGGAATGGCAAATAAATACTTACTTGAAATATCAGTAGAATTGAGACTAGGGTTCTTTCATGTAATGGACCCAGATATCTTATAGCCAGATTTATCAAAGTAAAATTATTACATTCCATAAATTCCTCATTATTATCTAGAATTTTAATACACCCTACTAGTCTATAGATGTTGATTAATAACTTTCCAATGATACTCAATTCTTTATATTTAAACTTTGTTGTACTCAATTCTAATTTCTCTGTTTTGGCATTAAATCTGAAAAAAAAAGGCTATACATGAAAAATTAATCCCTTTGAATACTGAGTGTACAAAAAATTTAATGTCAAATGCACCTGGTGGTGAAAATTATATACATTTTAGTATATAACTTGATGTTATGTGATGCTACTTGGTAATGGCCGATTCAAAAGACATGGGAAGCCACGAGTGTTGAAAGGGTACATACATTAACCATTAATTTCAAAGTCAGATAATTAAGAACAAATGTGTAATCAGCTATCCAGGACAACTGTTTAATAGAAGCAACATCATGCAGTGTACAATGAAGGAATTTTGTCAAGACAGCACCCAAGCCCACCCTAGTTATGGATGTTACAAATACAGCTGAATCAACAGCAATGACTAGGACCTAACCCACTTTTTTTTTATCCAATCAGCATTGACTAAATTTTCTTTTAAGTGATAATTTAATTCATTCAGAATTTATTGATCATGTTTTTACTAACAGCTATCATTAGGTTCTAAATAAGTTAAGTTCGCTGCCTCTGCCGAATTCTTAACCACAAAATTTTTACCTAATATGATCTAACTATTTAGATAAGGACTGCTTTACCATGTGACAAGAGAAATGGCCAAAACAGTGGGTTTTTCCCAGTTAATTAGAATCTACAAAATCAACTATAAAATAATTCAATAACTTACCTTGGTAATCTATGTCTAGGACAGGGTACAAATCTAAACAACTGAGGTACAGAATAAATAAAATTTAAAATTTGAGGAATAAAAAACAACAACATAGTTTTACTGAAATGTCCTAATATGGCTACCACAGCAAACGTCATTCCAGAAAAATAACAAAATGTATCACCAACAAACACTTGAGAGGGGTACCTGAAAATAAAACAAAATTTCTTTTTTTTTTCTTATTTCTAATTTTACTTTTGGTGAATATTGCCTTCAATTCTTGAATAAAAGATGATTGTGTATTGCAATTCCATTGAAACTAAGTCTTATATATTATCTACAAAAGTGACTTCATAAAAAGGTTAGTTTTTTGTGGACTTGCAGGAACTACAGACTTCTGAAAATATGAAATATGCAAATTAATGCTAACAGTATCCCTGATACACATATTTTTTTTTTAGAAAAATCTCATTACAATCCCTTGCATGTTCTAGCATCATATTAGCCAATGCCCTATTCTTAATAGCAATCTGCAAGAATAAAGACATTTAAAATTTGTTCACTTTCGTATATATTAATGACTTAAAATTTCAAAAAATACAGAATATTATATATATATATTATCATACTCACCAATTATAATATAATAAAGCTGAAGTAACACTAATAAACGGCATAATAAAATAACTAGAAAACATGTGAGCATCTCGTTGTTCCCCTACAATATTCAATTTAATCTTTCAAAGGCATATTAGAAGCACAATGTGGCTTCAATGTGGTTATCACACTGTCATCAGGAATATTATTATATTACATCACCCCTTCTAGTTTGAATCATACATCTTTAGATTAGAATGTCATGTCTTTTCTTAATCTTGTTAAAATTCAATATCAATACAGAAACATTCCTTGTTTTAGAAAAAAATTTGAAAAAAAAGCTTATAGCTGCAACTTTAAAGTGGTCACATTGAAAGTTGTTTATAAAAATGTAAATTTCTACAAAGATGGACAATTATGTGGCTTGCAAATCAGATATTGCAACATGCCATAATAAAGTTCGATTTTATATTTACCTGAAAGTTCAATGAAATTAAATATTAAAACAGAACAACCAATGACCCATGACTGTCCAACTTCTAAACCATTAACGCCAGCTAATATATTGATAGCATTGGTACAGAACACAGCTAACATACCCATATAAACATAGTATAAACAACCTACAAATATATAAACATAGTATAAACAACCTACAAATATATAAACATAGTATAAACAACCTACAAATATATAAACATAGTATAAACAACCTACAAATATATAAACATAGTATAAACAACCTACAAATATATAAACATAGTATAAACAACCTACAAATATATAAACATAGTATAAACAACCTACAAATACAAAAAATAAATAACCTTAATATATATATAGAACACAGCTAACATACCCATACACACATAATATAAATAACTTACAAATACACACATTATATAAACAACCTGCAGGTATAATATAAACAACCTGCAGATAAAATATAAACAACCTGCAGATAAAATATAAACAACCTGCAGATAAAATATAAACAACCTGCATATATCAATAATAAAACTGTGTACTGAAACATTATTCTTAGGTCACGTCATGTTTATGTAGAATATGAATGACCTCTGGAGAGGAAATTTTAACTTAGGAAATACCTACCTAAATTGAGATCATAACCAAGTAAGCCTCTCAATGGCTGAGGAACAATGATAGTAGTAGAATTAAAATTAACAAAATAAACCATTAATAAAGGCAGTGATGATATAGTTGGTAGAAGTAGTTTATGACGCCATCTTAAATCTAATACATCATCAGCAAATCCCAGAAACACCATACAACATATTGATAATAAGGCAGCTAAATATTCTACATACTGAAATTAATGATATGGAATGAGTAAAAATTACTTTCGTCCACTGGTCTACTCTCTGATCACAATAATTACTTAACAAAAATTCAAAATAAATTTTCAATTGCATATCATTGGTTAAAACAGGGGCTTTCAACCTGGGGGTAATTTTAAAATTATGGGGTTGCTTTGTAGTCCAACAGTAAATTTTTGACACTTACAAGTTGTTCTATTCAATTAGGCTATACTATCCGAAATAAAAACGATTGCTGGAAAAACCCAAGAGAAAATCACGAAACACTAGGGATGCATAGGAGGAAGGGGGGGTTATGCAAACAATGAAGGATCCTAAATAGAAAGAAAAAAGTTGAAAAACCCTGGGTTAAAAATGTCTTTTGGTCAATAAGTTTAGATGATCTTGTATCTGCCATAAGCAGAAAAGTCCTGATATAAGCTTATTCATGATAAATTTTTTTTTTGTCATATTCCAAACTTATTATCATTCTCACCTCATGATAGGGAAATTTCTCAGTACCAGTTGATAAATGTTTATAAAATGGTATTGGTATAAATAAAAACAAAATAATTAAAAATACAGCGCCACAAACTACTCCTAATGCTTCTGGACTGAAATGCATATACAAAAAAAAGTACTGGTAAATAGGCTAATATAGGCTATATTATATTTCATAAGATCAATTTTATATATTATTCCAGAAATTGGAAAGGATCAATATTACTGTAGTGCTTGCTTTAGCCTCTATTTCAAAGGCAAACAGTCATAGGCTACTTTCTAGCAGATAATTAAAAGACATTTTTCTACAATGTCAATATAAAACATCAAACGCAACAATCCCTGAGACTGGAGAGAGGGTTGACGTGCCTATCATTCCCACTCTCAAACTATAATAGTGCCTAACTGGCTAGAGGAAAGGATGATGCAAACTCACACTTTTTGTTTGGATGTTTTGCTCATATCTATTCCGAACAATTTAGCCTCAATAAACATTGGCTTAAACTTCGGTATTATGTTGAGACAGAGCAGAAAGCCTAGGAATGACATTCCTGCATTAATCATAAGGGTTGTCCTTGTCTCTACTCCCTCCATGTCGCAAATTTATGTTACAACCTCTGAAAACATTACACGAATCATCGAAAGTCAGCCATGTCTCTTCACGCGAGATATTTGGAGAACTTGCGGTAAGTACCGACTGTCTTATAACTACCGACTAAATGATATGCTGTGATGGATAACTTACAAAAAGTAAAATAAACTTCAGATGATTTATTCAAGCCCGATTTACGAAGTAAGTGAAATTCAAGCATTCCTCAGCGTTGAGTCGATGGCATTACATATTTTGTAGAAAATGTTAAGAAGCATTTATCTTGCAAATTTCCCTAGCAGTTGTCCGAATGAGTCTGACGCTCACTGACAGTGACACTGATCAATCATTAGTGTTATAGCAAACTACTCCAAAAAATTGTGGAAAATGCTGAAATAGGACAAAAAAGAGTAAACACTAAGGTGGCAATTGATTATATTTGCCTTGGTTTATAAGGAGCTGTGATGAACTCTGTCTAATACCTTGATTGACATCATTAGGTAGGCCTACTACAGAACTTTTCTTGTTAGGACAGCCTATGACACCGTTGGCTGCGTCGTCAGGCTTTAAATTACTATTTTTCCCTCTTGTGAGGATTGAAAATATAGCTAATCAAATGCTTGTTAGAAAACTAGGCTTCAATAAGACAGAGATCTTGACATTGGCATGTGAAGGTGTGTTCAGAAACAAAACGTAATTGTGCTTTAGGCCTAGGCCTATAGCCTATCATCTGAAAATGGTCAAAGCTATTTGGATAAAGTGAACAATGGTCTCATATATGTATCTATAAGGGTGTGTGAACCTTTAAAGATGTGCAAGCTTATGTTACCAATAATTGAATGAGATAAAGAAATTTTCCTTAATTTTTCTTTTAAACCTGTAGGCCTACTAAAGCATAGATTTGTGTTCCCTTTTTTGTCAAAGAAAATATTCAAAAGAAATCTGAAATTTGAGGAGAATTGTCTGTTTGTAAAATGAGTAATTAAGGAATAATAAGATTATTGATTAAACAGTAACTGACCAATACTGACCCATGGTCTTATCTCTGACCATCTCTTCTTAGCTAAATCTACCAAATTCTTCCAATCTAACTTCCAATATTCTGGCACCAGTTTATTTCTCATCATTGATTTTCTAAGTGCTTGTACATTTCTAGCTTTTCTCTATTATTGCTGGGAGAAATTATGGAGTTTATTTTCTGATTTTGATTAGATATCTGTGAAAAGATCTTATATAATTTGTTTAAAGGATTAATTGATGTGACTAAGATGGGATTATATGTCTATTTGGAAGAATAGATATAAAAGTTTGCAATAACATTCTAGTTTATATAAATTATAATAGGACTAACAAGATAAATGTATCTTTCTTGTTGAGTTTAGATTCTTAGTTATATTATGTAGGATGACATTGTAATGTATTAAGAGTATGAAATTAAGCTGATATTGCAAGTTGTTATGTTTTCAATCTTTGGAACCAGATTTCTATGTGTAGTAAACTGAAGGTAAGTTTTTTATTTGTTACAGTACCGGTACTCAACCCCGTCGTTAGGGTGGGGTCTGTGAGGGCTGGGCCCCAGCAAGTGAGAATTAACCCCAGCTAAACCTTCTTCAGTTCAGCAGAGATTGATTCATTTACAATGTCTTTGTGCAAAATCAAAAAGATATAGATTTTGATGTTTTTGGCATCTCAAAATTGGCAGAAATGAGTTCTATGGGCCTTTAGTTCTTCAAATTTTTTAAGTACAAAATCTGAGCCCCAGCATCAATTCATACCTGGCGACGGGGGGCTGCCAGTACATTGAAGTTTCCTAAGTTAATAATTGATTTAATTGTGTGTGAAAGTATGATTTGATGGATTCTGGTTCCTGTAATTAAAGAAAATCTTTACAAGATTCAAGACAATATGGCATTTGCAATGGTGAGGCCTTGATCTGATTCAGTGTTTTTGAAGTTAGGAACCATGGACAAATGAAAGTGATGCAACAGAAATAGGTAGGATTAGTAACAGATTATTTTAGAGTAAGAGTAAATAATTCAAAGTATATTCCTTAGAAACAATTATTTTGTTCTTAGTAGCTATTTGTTATGAAACCATTCAGAGCTGCCAGTATATTGATTTCTCTTTATGGACAATTGACTTTGTTGATGTATCACATGGATACTCAGTTAGTAGTTGATTTACTCATAAGTTTTGTTAAACTTTTGATTTTCAAATCAGTTCATTTACTCACTCCAGGTGATGTTTCTAAGTGTTAGATTTTTTAAGCAGTTGATTTACTCAGCAGCTGAATTACTCAACAGTGATTTACATTATTATTTGATTTCTTGGTTTCTTAGTGTTTTTTATCAGTTGATTAACTCAGTGTTTAGTTCAGCAATTTTTTTTATTTAACATTTGTTTTACTCAGTAGCTCAGTTGATTTACTCAGCAGCTCAGTTGATTTACTCAGCAGCTGAATTACTCAACAGTGATTTACATTATTATTTGATTTCCTGGTTTCTTAGAGTTTTTTTATCAGTTGATTTACTCAGTGTTTAATTCAGCAATTTTTTTTATTTAGCATTTGTTTTACTCAGCACCTCAGTTGATTTACTCAGCAGCTCAGTTGATTTACTCAGACACAGTTGATATACTAAGCATTTGATTTACTCTGCTTGGTGATGTACTCAGCCATTTGATTAACTCATCCAGTTGATTTACTCAGCGAGTTGATTTAATCAGACACATTAGATTTACCAAGCATTTGATTTACTCAGCTTGTTAATTTACTCAGCTTGTGGATTTACATAGAAGTTGATTAACTCAGCATTTGATTTAACTTTACTTAGAAGTTAGCTCACAACATTTGATTTTTTTTATTAACAAAAGATTAATCATGGAGAGATTTAACCTAATATATCATGTTATCTGTATAAAAACTATCCATCAAGAACTTAGAGATAAGTATTGAAAATGTAACACTGTTTTAAACCAATCTTATCTTTGTAAAAGCTACGTTATCTTGGAATAGAACCAAAGTAGTTTTTTATTATTTGATGGGTTTTTAAAAGAAGATTTTGGAGATAGATGTGTTCCTACATTGTTAGAGAGGCAGTTTCTACTAAATTATCAAGTAACTCTTGAACAATTAAAAAAAACCATTAGAAAATGTTATGAGAATATAGAAAATAGAAGAATGGTTTACAGCCTCAGTTGTACCCCCACTTTATTTTTAACAAAGTTAGACATGTTATTTTTATACTTCTTTGCCCCAAAATATCTGTCTAAATGCACTTAATGAGTGGAAATTTTCGAGGGAGAACTCTCTCTTGTTACTATGATGCATCCACAGTGTTGCTGCATTCTGAGGTCAGCTCCGTCAGTTGTGTCAGTCTGGCCCTATTTGTACCCACCGGCATTAGAGGCTGGCACCTCCACTAATAATGATAGATAAAGATGAGAGTGTAACAATGATGATAACAGGTGTATGGTGTATAAATAATATACTGCTAACTATATATCTACTACCTGTCTATATTAAACTCATAATGTAGTTAATACAACAGGTATTAACTCTTAAAATATCTTTTGTTTTGTAGTCTGAAACCCTGTCTTTTTAACGGACTGAGAGAGCAGAGGTGACTCAGTAAAAGCGTGATCGCTGACTTAGATTCAGACGTAGGTTCAGGAATTATTTTATTTTATTTTACCTTGGTTTTTCCATATCAGTGACGCAGGTGGAAGGACTGATATGGAAAGGGGTACTGTTAGCTGTAGGCTGTAAGTTAGCTTTAGGAATGAAAATATTGCAAATCAGAACATAGTGAAGATATTACAGAGTCAATTGTTTCGGACTATCTATTTGATATTGTTAATGGATTTATTTATGATCCATTTCTTACTCCGAAGAGATATTATTTTTTGACTTTGAAAGGAATTTATTGGTCTGATTTTGCGATTTATTTCCTATATGTTGCTCTTTGAATATTCTGGTTGGGGTAAGTTTTTGATAAATCAATAAATGTTACTATCACTCCAGGCGATTGGAATGGAAGTTTTGTTTTTATTTACATTGCTGAATTTTTATTCTTTAATCAAGTTATGATTACTGAGTCGTATTCTTTGATCAACTGATTACCATGAGTAATTTTCCATACAACTCACTATTAATTTATAATAGGTAGATTTAGATAACTGAGTTGTATTCTTTAATCAACTTATTACTGAGTTGCATTCTTTAATCAACTGATTACCCTGAGTATTTTTCCATACAACTCACTAATAATTTTCTTATTGGTAGATTTAGATTACTGAGTTGTACTCTTTAATCAACTGATCACTGATTTGTATTCTTTTACCAACTGATTACCCTGAGTACTTTTCAATACAACTCACTATCAATTTTCTTATCATAAGTAGATTTAGATTACTGAGTTGCATTCTTTAATCAGCTGATTACTGAGTAGTTTTCAATACAACTCACTATCAGTTTCAACTGATTACCCTGAGTAGTTTTCAATACAACTCACTATCAATTTCAACTGATTACCCTGAGTAGTTTTCAATACAACTCACTATCAATTTCAACTGATTACCCTGAGTAGTTTTCAATACAACTCACTATCAATTTCAACTGATTACCCTGAGTAGTTTTCAATACAACTCACTATCAATTTCAACTGATTACCCTGAGTAGTTTTCAATACAACTCACTATCAATTTCAACTGATTACTGAGTAGTTTTCAATACAACTCATTAATTTTCTTATCTTAAGTAGATTTAGATTGCTTTCAATACAACTCACCATGAGTAGTTTTCAACACATTTCACTTTCAATTTCAAACTGATTACACTGAGTAGTTTTCATTAGAACTCATTTGTATACATCTTACAACTATTGATTACTGAGTTGTTCTCAAGATATCAATTGATCAAATTAAGAATGAATATATCACAACTTGCCTAAAATTATTGATTACTGACTTGTTTCATAGA